GGCACGTTACAGTACAGCCCTCAACTTCAAAATTCCAATAATGACCGAGTACCTTTTATTTTATTTTGTAAAAAACTATAATACGTAGATGTAAGTAGTTATTGCATTGTTAAAACATTTTATATCATATTTACGTTCTGCACACAGCGTAGTCCGTTTGTCAACGATTGTATGAAAGCAATAACAGTAGGTATTGTGCCGTGAGATCGCAACAGCCGAGAATATGGTTACGTAACTGTATATTTTTAATATAAAAGTTTAATAATAACTATTTTGTTTTATTTCATCTAATATCTTTTTTTGCCAGCCAAGGAGCATATTTTCTAATTACACAACCCACTAGACGTGTTTACACACCCCGTAAAATATTTGGCGATTGATAGACAGGATGGTAGTGAATTTGGGTAGGAATGGGCCGCATTCTAAAACTTAAAACTCATTATAACACTTTTGATTTTCAAATAAAGGATAGCTTAGGTTAGGACTAGTTGTGTCCTTGGCCAATTGAAAATCTTGAAATAAATATCTCGAAAAGTAGAGGTCTTAGCAAAAAACTGACGAACATTTCGCAATCCCCTATTGTCCAACACCCCGGAAAACATTTTTACAGATTGATGGACAGGGTGGAGGTGACCTTGGATAGGAATGGGATATAATTTGACGAACTTGATTTACTTTGACTTAATATCCTGTGCCCCCTAGATGGAGCAAATGGCGTCCAATGGAGTTCTCCATCGCGATCTGTCTTGAGCTTCACGCTTCACCTCACTCCACGTCATACCGATGCTCATCGCTTCTGCCAGTAGGTACGATGCGACGCCCGGTTAGCCAAGGACGACACGACATTCTTTACTCTTGGGGATTCCAGTCCAAGGCTTGCTTGGGCATGTGGTCGTGATCCCTTCAGAGCGTGTAGCCTATCCATCCCCACTTGCGGCGCTTAATTTGACGACTATCTACTTATAATTGTCCAAGTTTGTACGCAAGAACCCAGTACCCGACGACAAATGCTGCAAATCGGCTTAAACCTAGATATTCTTCTATTTTATCAAGTATTCTTTTCGTTTCAGGCTTATATTGTGTTTTTCATTAGAAGGGAAATCCCATCTTGTATATTAGGTATCTCAATGACTTCTTCGCAGGGCCAGGAGGTATAAAAAAATGGGCATATCCAAGATACACAACCCCCAAGATACAAAATCAGAAAACATATTGTCTTTATGGAGGATGTTATACATGGGGGGTTACATAGTCTGTTTGTCCTTTTTGTAACCACCATTCAAGAATCTAGATTGCTGCGCCAACTTTTAAAAAGTTTATACCTCTATGGTATTTCAACAGCATCTGCTTTCTGATTATTTCTTAATAATCATTTATTATATTATCATTTTCTAGTTCCATGATGATACCATAGAAGGTTACGGTATATAGGAAAAATAAATAAAAAAACCAAATTGTTATATCAATATTATTATTTATTTATACATATACTTAAAAACTTGGAGCTAAAACAGTTTTTAATTAATAAAATATCTAACGTTACTTCATGTTTATATTTCTTTTCAACAATCATTCAGGCGATACGTGTACTAACTGTTCTACTTCTGTTACAAAAATAAATCTTTCGTTAGAGGGAAGAAAGCCTCTTATATTACAAATTGGCCTATGTCACATAGATTTGTGTTAAAACATCACTGTTACACCCAATGGTATTATAAGTAAAGAGGTATAGATCACACTAATATTATAATTTTGAGTTTCTTTAGTTTGGATATATATCCAAATTTGGTATACAAGCAGGGTATTTTTTTAAGGGGGAAAATCATAGAATGACTGCTCCCACCTGGGTGAGGCGGGAGGGAGTGTCAAACCTAAGTCGGAATTCCGATTAAATGCCCATGAGATGAAACAGGAATACGCGGGCAAAGCAGTGGGTAAAAGTTAGTCACCAATAGAGTAATCGCCAAGTGGTTCGGTGACCGCTCGAGGATTACTCTATTCACTCCATTTTAGATCTTATTTCCGATACTTAGATACTAGTTTTGAATAAACAAGTTTTGTGGAATTTTCGTACGGTCTATCAAGTGCTTAAAATGTGGCTAATTGGTCACATTTTACCTCAGTGTATGCATAAGTGTGTCATTTGTGAAGAATATGGCTTAAGTAAGTCATCTACACCTTTTTGCTTATAATATCATTGGTTAGATCATACAAAGACTACAGCTAAGAACAAAATGCATTTAAAGCAAAATGATTTGTGATTTAGAATTTCTTTGTACTATTCAATTAGCTAGCTATGTTATAAACAAATATGAGTGAAGGCTCCGTTTTTACGCTTCTAGGAAGTTTCACGCAATCCTTAATACTATTTTCTTTGAGATTTTACATACCCATTTAACTATAGAATTAAATAGTATTTCTTTTTGAGTTTCCAAACAAATTACCTCTTCAATTCTATAGTTGAATAAGTATATTTCATTTATGCTAGTAAATAGTGACTCTTTATATGATCTAATACAGGTTTATACCTAGAAAAGGGAAGGTAATTGACTAAAGAATTTGAAATCAAGAGGACCTTACAAGAAACCCATTCTTATGCAAACAAATATTATTAAATAGGTATTTTGGTAAAGTGTTATTTACATTAAAGTGAAGGTAGGAATAATATACTTACAGTTTAATAAATTATATAAACACATACTCATAATATAGTAATTACTAATCTAATTTAAAATATTAATTTAATACATTATGACAACATAACAACAAGTACGTTAGAATACACATAAAATAATAATTAAGTCGTTCTTAAATAAGGGTTGACCAACTACCAAACTATTAGGGTATGATTACATTAAGCAAGATTTGTAGACTTCTTCAAATAGTCTTGACAGTATAGAAGTGAGCAATTAACTTGGCTCAGTGTAACCACATCCTTACATCAAATTCTGCTAACGAAAAATATGTATAGATCGACTATGTAAGGGCAACTTTAAACTTCGGAGCCTAAGCAATTTGGACGGCGAAGCAGAGGTAAGCATCGACAAATGCTTATTTCAATACAATATGAACTTTAACACTGCAATTTTAGGGTTTATTTCACAAAAATAGGTAATTTCTTTGGCAGTGATTCTTTGGTATTTGGCAAGAAGGAATGTTTTAGTTTTGTGCATAACATTAAACAGCAAAAGATTCGCTTGCACATTAATTCTTAAGACGAAGAAAAATAGCTCTTAAATGCGAAGCAATAACGACTATTTTCATTTAGATGCGGATTTAATTTGGCAAAAGGCACATCCAAAGGACATCAATGGTTTATATAGTTTGAAAATTTAATAAGGTGGCTCCTTGATTCTGTGCTATAACATCGAGAGAATAACGTTCATTTTCCTTCAGCCCTTACAGCGATATTATAATAGCTATTTATAGAATAATAATTCCTTTTTACCTGTACAATTTGTAATGTATCAATTGTTGATTTACTTATGTTACAAACTATACATCTTATGTTCCTATGTCGAGCCGTTGTCGCCGTGTTGCCGTATCGTACCTCTATTAGTCAAGGCATATAACTTATACTATATATTTTTACTACAAGTAAAGCCTCTGTTAACCGTATTATCAAAATAGGTAGGTATTGAGTGTGTTTACAACAAATTCAATAAGGAATTTCGAAAAAGGAATCGAAGTTGTTGGGAGTAAATAAAGATCATTTTTGCTTGAACTATTATGCAAAAATGTCAACGCGAAAATTTCGAATTTCCTTATTAAATAACAATAAACAAGTATAAACGTAAAACTTAATTACAACTTAAATGCCAAATTCAAAAATTAATTAAAAATACAACCGAAACTTAGTAACTATTCCATATAACACCCAGTTATGAGTAAAGCTTTTCTTTATTATTTATATTTTCTTTATATCTTTCTGAATATTGTTAACAAAGGTATTTGCTATGGGCCTGGCATTTACAACATTACGCGTTAAAAGTGGTAAAGTACTCCAAGTGATACATAAAAATATATTCTTTATCTTTTAAAATGAACTTTATTTCAATTAGCTTTCGTTCCTAATTTCTTTACACAGTTAACTGTGTTGTTATTCGACGAGATTACATTCAATTTACTGTTTCTTTAGCCTTTAAAGTTAAGACAATATTAAGACGTTGAAATAAGGCGGACGCAATGTCATTAAGAAATGATGGTGGACATAAAATCTGTGGGGTTTATTTATGTGTGCGTGTGTAATGGGTTACCACGTTACCAGACAAGGATATTACCTAAAATTTGAAAATAATTTGCATAAATATGTCAAGCTAAGCAGGCTATGTCAAGGTGACAGATATACTTCGTATGAATGTGTGTATGTTCTATCGTATTGGAGACTCGGTTGTCAAAGAGGGAAAGAAAATGTATGTTCTGTGTGTAAATACATAGTAGCCGGGGGCCACAGTCATTGTTTCAAGAGACTGTGTCCGCCATTTTTATCAACGTCCTTGATTGAGCCTAATAACTTGGCTTGTAAAAGCATTGACTTAACAATTGAATCCTCTCCTTCTACTCGTAAATGCAAGTTTACAAAGTTCAGTACAATTTAGTATTAAATAAATGCATTCTCCTTTACAAACATTTGGTCCAAGTCTCTTAAATCATTAAGAGGTTGGACACTGGTCGAATAACAACAATAAACTGTCAATAGCAACGCCAGCGACACGAGATAAAATCTCTTTCATCACTTATAAGTCAACCTTATACCTTTGCAGTCTTGGTTTAATTTTGAATGACTAACGAGCAGTTTCATTAACTTATCGTTTCATTAATTATTCTGTAGCGTCAAGTACTAAAATTCACCGATAGGTCATTGAGACTGGCCGTTAATGTAAATAGGTGTTAATTTACAATAGAAAGTAGACTTTATAGTATGATGTTAGAGTACAAAATACCTCGTATCGTTGAGTTTATGGGGCTGGTCGTAGAGACGTCCTGATGGTTATTGGTGCTCACTGGAACTCATCATCGGAGCTGAGTAGCGTAGTCTTCTCGTGGTAATTGGTGGCGTGGCTGATGGTGGCGACGCGTTGTGGCGGGGGGCGCGGCGCTAGAGCCCCGCCCTCCTCCCGCTTCCCTGCGCCTGCACCAGCCCGCATTACTACGTACAAAATGATATTAGTCACAATGTTCTAATGTGATGTGTGGACCACGCGAATGTCAAAGCGTTCAGGGTTAGCACAAATACTGGTGTAATTAAGTTAGGAATATTGCTGTCCCACCACCATTTTGTGTCTTATAAGAGCTAAGACAGTGTAAAACGGATTATAAAAAGTACTTACATTATTTTTAAACCCAAAACGCTTAAACACGTAACTATTGGTTGTAGTGTGGTGGTATTCCATGTTATAAGTGCTTTTGTCTACTTCATTATAAAGTGAGCACTATTCGTGCATTCTTTGTGATATACAAAGTAGGTAGTACTTTTCATACATCATCAGTTTCAATTCAATATCAGTATTAGAGTCAGTGGTACCACTTAATTATTTCATAATAGCAACACTGCACTGAGTATCAAATTGGAGGGAAATTAAAATGTGTGTGCAAACTACTGTGTTGCGTATCATTCAAATATTGTGTAAAATTAGTTTAAGGGACTAACGCCCGAATACTGAAAGGCTAATCAACTTTAAATTGAACTTAAATATCGTATCTCTGTCATTTTACTAAAAATAAGTAGAGACAGAACTATATTTAAGCACGACTTAAAGTAGTGACCTTTGAGTATTTCAGCGTGAATCTCAGTTTTATAACGGTGTATTGTACTGTAATACTTTATCTATAACATTCTGGCGACACAAACAAAAAAGCTGATTTTCAAAACGTGCATAAATGATATCACACTCAGTGAAATGTCAAAACATTCAAATGTATGATAAGCATGCCAGCAAATTATAATTAAAAAGCGATTTTTAATGTCTTACCTTTTGTCTTCTGTGTGTACAGTATTATGTGTGTGTGGGTATCTTTTTTGTATATTGTACGCAAGTAAAATCCAAATATAATTAGGTAAAATCTTTTATTATTAGTGAGAGGCGAAATACAAGTGTTTTTTAAAATCAAACTGTGGTGAACTGTAAAAAATAATTATTATAACTTAAACCTACCAAAACTATGCTATAAATTTTTAATTTCAATACAAACTAGAACTAAAGTAAAAAATCTCCTATTTAAAAATAATATTATGATAACAATATTTAGGAAATGAAAACGTAAAGTATGGCTTCACAGGTTGTTAGTTTCATATTAAATTATGTTATTGTTACACTTATGAAGCGCGCATTATTACAAAGCATAGACAACTTGTCTCGACATTTTACTGAAGGTGGAAACATGAAATGCCGTTCTTTGGTTTGGCAATAAAATGTGCAGGTTCACTTCCACAGATAAAGCAAAATTAATTTAAAAATAGAATGTACAAAATCAGAACAACCCGATAAATGCCAGATATTTTTATACAAAAAGTATTTACTCTCACGGATATTTCTCCGGATTTTTTCTAGCAACATCTAAGGATCATATCCTGTAACTATAGAGTAACAAAATAATATAAAAAGAAAAGTAATATAATCACAGAAAATAACATTTACACTAATCCTTACACAACACATACTAAAGGCATAAAGTACAAAGTAGCTAATTATTTTATGGCAATGAATAGTCCGAATATTGTAGCAAACAAGAATACTTCATAATCTGCTATACAAAATGTAGGTTTCCGCAGGTGAATCTTACTGGTATCCACAAATAAATTTGAATTCTAAGCATCATTACGATATGACATATTTTCATCTGTAACGAGCTTACCTCTATAAAAATATTGAACCACTTCACCTACGATACCGTTAACTTCTATAATCAGTTCACCCCTGTATAATTTCAAATACGTCTGTTTGTATGTTTGCATGCTTTTTGTTCTATAGCCTTCTGATATGATACTTACCTAAGTTTTTTCGTAAAAATTCGTTATGCGTTCCGGACTAGCCAAATACCTTGATATTATAAAAATAAACCTCTTAACTAATTTGGGTTGCTACCGAGCCCCGGACACCGATTTCTTGTGTCACCTAACTTATATAAGGCACAGTACAAGACATAACTTGAAGTATAATGTGTGTACAAACAAAAACTCGGTATGTAGTTAAAAAATGTATTACTGGGTGTAATCACCCAAAAATAAATAAACTTTTTCGCAGGCCATCTTGACAGATTAATATCGAATCCACTGGAATTTTGAGCGTCATGGCTTATATTTTATTTTAATTTGTTCATGCATAATGAAATATTGCGAAAAGAGGTTGTATGAAGGACGCGACAATTCGAGTGATTTCGATATTCGAATTGACCATGAGCACGCGTTTGACTGGATCATTAAAATTCAACAATAATGTTAGTGGTGTTTCCATGCTCGGGCATAATGTATTTATTATTACATGTATGTATGTATAAACGGACAGACAGCAATGCACTTCATGCAGAGCACAGCTATGGCAGTTTATAGTTTCTCATAAGGCAGTTGAGAAGTGACATCTGAAAGAAAATAAAAACCAAAAAATAAGAAGGACCTAGCCTACGGCATAAAATGGGCGCTATCAGTGACAATAAGATAAACAACGATATTTTTATTTAACTTTAAATATTCTGTATTAAGTGTGGTAAAGTTTTGTTCCAAGTCGTGATTTTTACCTACAAACCTTGTTGCGTTGATTTAAGAGCGTTGTACTTACTTATAATCTTATCTATCAGTAAAACAAAAGTGCAGATAAAACGCAATCTAGCTATCACCAACGCGATGTCCCAAATGAGATTGAGGGCAATTTTCAGATGTATCATTACGGATTAAACTATGAAAACATTCAACATCTATACTAACGAACACTGATACGATACTAATTAAAAGGGGTATAGCACACAAAATACTGTTAGTGTCACGATCAGCGACTAACCGAAACTTCGATCATTAAAATAGATCGTATTTCCATTGTATTAGAGATCAAAATCTATTACAGTACGTGTAAACATTTTCGATAACCTGTTTGCCAGGACATTTCGTTATTAAGGATACATATTGGACATTAGTTCCATATCAAAGGTAGCTAATTGCTATCAAGATATTATAAAAAAGGAAGTTCTCTCAATTGAACCGTTTCTTTTTTTTCAATAGCCGAATAAAATCGCTGATACACGACACTAACAACATTCAATATGCAATCCTATCAAAAAAACCACTAGGTAAGTAAGTAATAAAATGCAAATGATAATGGCGACCAGGCAGCGTATGAGCATGCGCTAAGTATACAAGATGGCGGCGAGACTCACCCGAGCTGTACTGCGTGTACTGCTGGTACTGAGGGTGGAAGTTGTGGAACGCGTCCGTCATTATGTCCTTGGGATTCATCGTCTCCTAGAAATTTTAAGGTGATGCGTTAATTACTAGCTTAGCAGTTTTTTTATTACGTTTCGGTCAAACGAAAGTACAGTCAGACTCATCGAGGCTTCCGCGCTGACCAATTTCTTCTTATAATTTTATACTTAATTACAAATTAATAAAGTTCATGTGACACCCTATATACATTGTTTTTTTTTACATAAACTCTACACAATTATAAATATAATTGTTAGCAATTTAAAATTCTAAGAAACTTTATAACAAAACATTACCTTGAGGCTACTAGAGATGGACTGCATAGTGACGGAGCGGTGAGGGTCTCGGTGCGCATGCGCATACACGGCGGCGGGGAAGGCGTAGCGCAGTGCTATAGCGGCCGCCAACATCTCCAGGCAGATCAGGAAGTTCTGGTACCCGGCAGACACTGTACCCGCCGTCGTTGGGATACCATTCGCGTCGTGGATCGGAGATATCACTTCAGCCTTCTCGAGGATGGCTAGGGCTACACCTGGAGTGTAAAGATAGGGTTTGTAGATGAGATTCAAATTGTAGAGGCACTAAGCGCTGTCGTTGCTATTGTTAAACACATACAGTGTTTAAAACCCTAATAGTAACAAAACGACATTATCAGCCCAGTTTCGTTCACTATTGGACACTGTTGGAGTTATAGAGGTCTCACCAGCTCTTTATATGCAATCACTACCAGACAACTTATAGACGTGTATCGTCATTCTATTACATTGTTACCACATATTTATTATGTTCCTTCTAGCTACACTTAACGATACCATAAGATAAAACTCCTAACATTTACAAACTTACCTTGCCAGAACGAGAGGAAAATAACTGATTTGACGGTGAAGAACTTGAGTACCGGGTCGAAGGGTTTGAGCATCTCCCTGGTGGCTCCGAGGAAGAGGAACAGGCCGTAGAGCGCCAAGCTGACGGAGAAGTTGTATACGATGGTGATGTAGATGTAGCCGCCGTCGGGGCTCCAGTCGCCGTCGTGGTACAGACCTCGGGCCTGGAGACAGGGGTGTAAAGATTAGTGTGTTATTTAATTATTAAATTAATATAGCGAATATAAAGGTTTGTATTCATGAATAAACTTATTAATTACAATGTTCTTTCTGAGGCCTTAGTAGGAGTTTGTTTTAATCGAAACGAGACCGCGTTCTGATTGGTTGGTTCATTGGAGCCGGCCAATGAGAGCGGCGAACGCGTACTCGTTTCGATTACTTTAAACATAAAACAAACTCGTATTAACCCTTTGAGTGCCGTCATTATAGACAGAAAGAACAATAGGTTGCGGTCACAGGTGACCTCGCGGTGTTTGACAGTTTAAGCCTTCTGGACGAAGGACGATGGTACTTATTCTTAAATATCATTCTCACAACTCTATCAAGAATGCACCCTAAAGTATCATAACAAATTGTTACTTAGTTTCGTGGCTGCGTAAAACATAACCTTACATTATGAATAAATTCATCCTACAAGATATTTGTAAAAATATCTAAATTCCGTCACTTACTTGAGAATCAAACTAACCCTTAATTTGAATGATAAACGTTGTTAAACATACATATACGAGAAAAACCAAATATTTCATTATTAATCACATAAAACGAAACATATATGAGTAATCTTATGAAATAGCTGATAAAAGCAAAGGAATGATTCAAACGTTAAATCAATTAGGCACGTGTGAACTTCGCGTTATCTATTCGATTGATAGACAGATGTTCATTACAATAATACTGACTTATAACTTACGACATACCAATATTTATGTGTATTTGTTCAATAACTAATTGTGTACAGCAGTATACTGTATTGTAGTTTTTATACTGATATATTAGACATGGAATTTATACTTATGCCATGTTAAATGATAGAAAAATTAGGAGTAGGTAGGCTTTTGACTACACTTAAAAGTGTATTTTTTTATTAATATTAATCTAATCTAACTGCAACTCTCAATCGTGGTTAATTAAAATATAACTTTCACTAAATGTAGAGTCGTTAAGTCTCAATTTCTTTTGCACAAGTACTTAACATATCATAACATCACGCCTTTTTCATCCCCGAAGGGGTAGAAAGGCAGAAATGCACATTATGGCACTTAACTCGTCGAGTACCGGTTTTATAGACACAATTAAAGAACAATAGGTCGCGGTCACCGGTGACCGCTTGGTGTTTGACAGTTTAATGTGGGTGTTACACTGTACAATGTATATATTCCCGACCCGGGAATCGAACCCGAGACCCCTTGCCCGGTAGTCGCATTTGCGACCACTCGGTCAACGAGGCAAGTACTTAATTATGTTAAAATAAATTCTCCTTTTTTTAAAATAGGGAAAATATACATAAACTTTAAGTTCAAAGTGCATTAGTGCCATTCACTAGATTAAGCTAATATTAACCTTAATATCAATAAAATGGATATTCTTAAAACACATTATCGTGTGACACGCGTTCTAATAAGATTGTTTGTACTTTAGAACTTCCTTGTAATTAACCTCTAACTTGCGTATCAATGGGAAAATTCATGTTTATATTAAACTGTCAAACACCAAGCGGTCACCGGTGACCGCGACCTATTGTTCTTTAATTGTGTCTATAAAACCGGTACTCGACGAGTTAATCAGATAGGTACTATGAATCATTATTTTCCTGTACTTATTTACTATATATTTTGCAAGATAAAGTAAGGAAAAAATAGCAAATGTAGGTAACTGTTATCGTAACACTAAAAATAACTTATCTGTAATTTAAAGTTATTTACAGAAATGTGCTCCTTGATCAATATGAACATTTCAAATTACGATTTATAAGCAGCCCATCATACAGGGCTCATAGTCCAGGAGTGGGCTGTTACGAGCTCTTAAATAAATATATGTAATTGGGTACTGGCCACCAAGTCAAATTCAATACTTTTTTTCGAACTGTCAAAAACGACAGTTTTCTATGAATTTCGTACGATATTCTATATTGTGACGTCACGTTTTTTTAGCACCAACCAGCATACTTATTTCTTAAAAAACTGCTGGAAAAGATTACTAAGATTAAGTTAGTCACAAAACCAATTAATGAAAGTGTGATTATGTTTTAATATTTAATTGTATTGAACAGCCGAAATAATTTATTTTTTAATTAAGTAAAGTACCCAGTTAGCGTTCATTGCAAAGGACAGTAAATAAACCTCCTCTTTACTATTTTTTGTTGGTTATGTACGTTTCCACGTGGTGCATAACGTGTGCTACTTCATCTTACTATCATACTAATATTATAAATGCGAAAGTTTGTGTATGTTTGTGAGTCAATTACGCCAAAAAGGCTGAAGGGATCCGGATCAAATTTGGAACAGGGAAAATCACCGAATGACCTCTCCCTCCTGGGTGAGGCGGGAGGGAGTGTCAGATTATTACTGACTAAAAACCACACCCCGTTCCTTCTCCTGCACGCCGAGCCGGAGCCCCGGTACCCCGTTAGGTTCTCGGCGACTTCTTATTAATCTAGCTGGTTATTCCAGACTCTGGACTACCACGTAGGTTGCATTTTATCCCAGACGACGCGACAAAAGCTAGTTATTATAGGTACTGTAATATCGTATAGTTGCTGGTAACTCATAAACCTAGACTGCCCGCGTTAATTTTACTACGGCTATAAAATTCTGCAACTTTTCATTACCTTCGTTATTTGTAGTTTTAAACTTGGTTCTACGTTTTGATTTCACGTGCAATGAATTATGTAACAGATTTTTACAGTAGGTAGTACAAAAATCTGCTTTCAGTTATGCCTATAATATTGAAGGATGCATGTTTTGTTTAGACGTGTAGATTGAAATATATTTTTTTACTAACACAGAGGCCTAAGGACGCATTTTCAGTTATCTAGAGTCATTCTTTTACTAGCACGGCTTAAACAGTGAAAAACTAGTGCTGCTTATCAATCTGCTGTTATGTGTACAATTAATAAGGATATGGTTCATATACCTGTAGGAAAATGATAATAAAGGCGCAGACGGGCTTAATGAGACAGAACTGGAGTGTGGCCTGCTTGCAGAAGCGGAGGAAGCCGATGGTGTAGGTGGCGCCACTGAGACAGCAGGTCCCGTTGACACAGGACGCGCGCACGGGCCGCCCGCGCAACTCCGACATTATGTTGCCTTCCCCGCCTAGATACTCGTAGCATAGCGACAGAAAACTGTAGATCACGAAAGCTGTAACAAGAAAAATAAATATTTAGTATTTTGCCAAAGTTGCAAAAGAAAATAGTTATCAGAGTATAAAATGTACAAACAGATATTCACATAATACATCAGACTTAATTCCAAATGCCTGGTGTCAAAGGTCAACGGGATAATAGAACCTAACCTAACCAGTAACACAAAAAAAATTAATTCTAAAAATATTAATTAACCCAAAACAACATGGCATTACATCATCTTCCTTGTTGTTATCATCTACCTACATAGGTAACTGTCCCAATTTGAAAATAGACAAACATAAACCATTTCTAAATTGGTTGTATCTGGTGCGGGCACTAATAAATGACCCATTTTCGTAAAGTGACTAAAGTCTTTGATTCAGCTTAGTAAGTACCTTTCAACGAGGAATATTGAGCAGTTTCAGCGTTTTAAAAATAGTCCTGTTTTTGTGAGGACGCATAGATCATTTTTTGTTACTCATTCTCGTATTAACTACTGGAACGTTGTAAAAACGTGTCAAGCCGATGAGTAAACTTAGATATTAGTTTAGAAAAATGAAAATAAGTTTACATAATTATATAACTGCATTGAAACTAATTATAGCATTTATTCTTTTGGTCACTTAAATCTGACGTCTACACGTCACACACGCTTTTTCTGGAGACCGAATATATACCTTCACAAGGCATTTATTAAATTTTTTACCATAATTATGCTCAAATCTATTGAACTTGATCATCTAATACACAGCTTACTTATTTCGCTTTATGATGGTTACAAAATCTCAAAGACATAAAACATATTTTTGCAACAGACAAGTTAAGAAATGAGCGTCTTCAATAAAGCTAAATGATAGAAGTCAGTTTTTGTACAGCTAACCATGACCCTAATTTAAAAATCACGAATACAACGCATCATGTATGTATGAATGTATAATTATAAATGTAACAATTTAATACTTTTGTAATGTTATTTTTGAAGACGAATGTACGTATGGATAGACTAAAACAATAGACTGATACTGAACTGATAGAAATAAATAAGATTTGTATCTATATCTTAAGACATATATCTCAATAATTATGCATGTTATAAACATCGATTAACCTTGATATAAGATTAGGTTTCATTTTACAGATTTAGGGAAATCACAGCAATAATAGAAGAGTCTGGACATCAGTTCTATTAATGACAATCACCATAGAACATTAAGTAACTAAACAATTGTATTGTTAATCTGATACCTATGGAGTTTTTTGCTCGTTCTCCTCCATAGGAATCTACACCTTGGAATGAGCAAATAGTTGCACTTTTTCACTTTTCGTTGACGTTTAGATGTGCCTTCCTGGTCTAATTGAAATAAATGATTTTTATGTTTTTTTTTTCTATGATTTGCCTTCGATTACATACCTATACACATTCACATATATTAGTACTTTATATTTACTTCTCATTGTAGGAAAACTTTCGAAAAAACACAAAAGCCAGAATAACACGTTTAAATATTTCGCCTTCATTTATCGATTACAATGCCAATAACCGTATACAGCTCAATTGGGAGCTTGTCAACCGCCTCAATTCCAACAAATAATCGAATGATCCACATCGATAACGCAATCGATATTCCGATGTATTGAGTACAAATCGATTATATCTTAATTGGTTGACGTACTTCAGATGGCAGACGGAATCTAAACACAGTTAATTATAAACCATGCAACCATGTTTAAAAAGTGTTGTATTTATAGTCTTGTGCAATCGCCGCATCCAAAGATGGTGCCTACTAATATTATACAGTATGTGAAAGTTCCTACGTTTGGGTGTTTATTAGTCATCGACGCAAAAATGGCTGTGCGAATTTGGGCGTAATTTTGCGTACAAATAAGACACCTATGACAGATTTTTGTTCTATTAGGGATTTAAAAGAATCCGCAGATGGGACTCCTATCGAAATTCTTTATACATCATCTATTTTGCAGGCTGTAGTTAAAAATCTTGTTAGTCGTTAGTTTCTGGAGCAAGTAGTCAATTTATTTATACAAACACATGATACGTTGACCGTTACTTAGTAGCTGCAGTTATCTAATTTATTTGCATAGTCTGCTGGCATACTTGTATCTACTTTGTGAAGGATATCCCACACACGCATGCTAACACAGTTAATATTGTACCTAATGATAAACAGGATAAGATCTTTTTTCATAATTATGTCATCACGTTCGATATCAAATATACGTAGGTACCTATTTGCTGAAGTCGGTCGAAAGTGTAGCGAAGTAACTGTATGAGTTAAATATTGAAGTTATAAATAACTAATAGAAATATTACACTTACGATATTATTTGTTTGTGTACGTACTGATAAAGAAATTAATAAAGCCAATAAAAAACACCTGTGTACCTAACTACCTATATTGCTGACTGCTAAATTGGTTTGTATGATATTTGTATTGTACACGTTCATTTCAGCATTACACTCATAAATACATACGCAACGCCGAGTCATTGTGTACGGAAAGAAAATATGGACATTCTAGATAAAAAAGAACAGTGCAGTATTTTTTAACTTTAAAATGTTTGTGGTCAGGTATAACAATGAAATATTTTTCGTTTCCATAAATTAGTTTAAAATGTTTATTATTTAAATAACAAAACGGTAAATTAAACTGTCAATGCTCAAAACTCTAATAGACTAGATTCTGCTTGTGGGTAAGATAAGGACAGCTTTTTACCGACTTTAAAAAAAGAGGAGGTACTATGTTCGGCTGATTGTTTTTTTTTGTTTGTTCGCGCAGTACTCCGCCATTTGTGAACCGATTTCCAAAATTCTTGTTTATATTTGATGGGTCGACGTTTGGCTACTATCTCGCCTGGTGGTAAGAAATGATGCGGTCTACAATAAAGCACGTCTTCCCATAAGCAACTTATTCACTCGGGCCTTGAAGACACCCAGGTTATATCCTTCAAGAAGTACAGACTCTGGCAAAGAATTCCACTACATAGCAGTACGCATAAGTCACTCCTTTCTCTTACTCCTTGTTGAAACGGTCGAGTCAAATGCAAAATTAGGTGCATAGATCGCACACAAGAAAATGTACGTGAAAGTAATGCTTTATTTTCTTTTACGCTCAATAAAACTAATTATAATTACAAGGTTTATGATGAAAAAACTACCGACCAAGTACAGAGGCCTTAGTACGGATTATTTTACACTTAAAGTAATCGTAACGAGTACGCGTTCGGCACTCTGATTGGCCGGCGCCAATGAAGCAACCAATCAGAGCGCCGAACGCGTACTCGTTACGATTACTTTAAGCGTAAAATAAACTCGTACTTAAGGCCTCAGAACACAGTGCAGTCTTCAGTTAAAATTCTAACCTCGTCAACTATTGTGTAAAGTTTCCTCATAGACTTAGACGTGTTCAATCTACCAGCATTATCAACTCAAGGCAATGTACACAGTAGAACATAATTATATCAAAGGACAAGTAAATAAACAGTAACACTTGGATAACAATTCAAACTTGTCTACTTTATTTGAGTTTTGTAGGAAGGGCATATTTTTTGGCGTCAAATAGAGGACTGAATACGTCAACTTATGTATGGGAATAATTGGAATATGCATGTGAAATTGTATGTTTGTAAACACACCCACGACACGACACAGGAGAAAATCCTAGTGGGAGAATATTAAAAACAATATTCAGTCCATTAAATTATTTTTTTTATACCTCCTACAGATAAAAGTATGAAGGTGAAAAATTGGTACCTAAACCGCCGTGTAGGTCACTAGTGGACTACGTTAGAGGACGAGGCTTTTAACAGTTTTCGCGTTACATTAAGATGGTAATAGAAGTGGCGCTTAAAACAATAGTTAAGTACACTCACCTTCATAACAATCCCGTACGGTGAAGAAGTATACATAGTAGGAGTTTCCATTGAAGAACAGCAGTGAGATCCAGCTGTAGCACCCGTATATTGGTACGATGAACAGGATGCGCACTATCCAGCGCTGCTCCGAGGGATTCGTGTACCAGCGGAGGTGCTGGTAAATCTGGAACATTAGATAATAAGGTATTTAAGTATATGTTTAATTATTTAATTCAATTTCAGTTTTCTGATGCTTTTCAGCAGTGGAAAAAGTAAGTTCAATGTTGTAAAATGTCGTTGGATAAGTAGGTATATTATCTTAGGCGAGTCATGAGAATGTAACGTTGAAGTTATGTTTAGTGTAACATGCGCCTCTATCTACCTTTTGAAGAAGTAAAAGGCGTACATGTAATTTTTGTGCTCACCACAAACACGTGGAGTTGGAGACTGTCTATATTAAAGCTTCTATTATTATCTCAACGTATAAAAGAATAAATGTAGTAGAGAATCCAATAACAAAGAAGCAGATGTTTCAATACATCTACAAAAGGACTGGAATAAGCACAAAATTACATCATCTATTAGGTAGGTATACCGAAGTAATAAGCAGAAGTGTATTAACACACCCACTTATTGCTAATTATAATTATCTTATGAGCCTTATTACACTCATGTAATCGCACTGAGTCTATGTATCAAACCGGGAAAGGAACTCATGTTCAGCAGTTACTATATATTATTATTATTATACTATGTTAAAGGTACCTTTGTAAATTGATATTTATTGAGTTTTGTTGAACACATGAAAAATGCCGGGAAGTTTGTACGTTCTCAGGGGAGCATTTTCATGCTTTATAACATTTTTATTTATTTACTTACATTTGATATATTATTGTAGTTACCATGACGTTACAATAAATCTATGTTTAAACAACTTTGATGTTTGCCCAACTGGTTTAAAATACGCGTGTAAAGGTATTGTATTAAAACAATTCTACCTGATGAGTATGACGTTGTTTTTGGCGCCAGAATCCTTTGTTCTTTTTTTTATTAAAGTGCGAAAAAGGTTGAATTGAATCAGACCATAAACATTCGAAAACCAAATTATTATTAAAATAAAATGTTCCTGCACATGTAATGTTTCTGTGTGCATATATTTCCACATACTTTGTTTTCAATTTGTCCTATTTTCCTTGTGTTAATCGCAATAATTTATTATTATTAACCGACTTCATTTTAATTACGACAAATAGGTAAAATTTATACGATTATTTAAGTAAATAAAACATACCAACAAATACCTAAGCACTGTTATTTGAAAACTGGTTTGATTTATTCTGATATTGCAGCCATATTTTATATTGAACAATACTTAATACTACATAATTTTATTATTTCAAAACATAAGAACCTAAATTGGATCAGAGTTCTGTTTCTGTCACGGTACATAAAATTGGTTGGTCAATTATACAGTCTGTTTTTATATTCGTGCAATTGAAAGTTGGCCGATTCGTGACGAATACAAAATTACTATCGAGTATCCAAAAACCCTTAGATATGTAGACACGATAATAAACTTTAATTGATTACACACTGAATTCATTTTTCTTATGACCCTTACAAAGTACAAATTTTGGACATACTGCGTTAAGGAGCATGAGCATTAAAAGAATTTGTTCAGCTTGTTACAATTTGAATCAAAATGAAACGATTACTCACAATAAACTACCATTTAACTTAAATGACGTCAGTATGAGGTAAGATGGTAAAATACACGCATTCACAAAGAACACTGCTACGCTCTCTTCGTTATCGTTAAAATCATTCATATAACGTTTATTAATTGACCAACAGTAACGGTTATAACTTAATGGTATAAAATAACGTTTCTTGTATTTATTAGCGTTGTGCTCTATACTTTTACCTTCGAAATAGACAGCGACCTGCCCATTATTATGAATTTATAGAAATGTGAACGGGTGTGACGTGAAATATGTATCATTATTCTAGGTTGTATACTACATTAGTTACAGCTAGGTACTATACAGTTCAATAAACAAGGCAAGGAATCTTCAATGCTAGGTACAGTTATATTGAGTTCAGGAATGACGTCAGAGTGTGAGAACATACTTGGTGGTCACCTCGAAGCTATGAAAAGAATACAGCTATATGATACTTCATTATTTTGTTACTAAATCGTACTTTAGAGGCCGTTTCAAAAAGTAATAGTAGTTAAATCCTCATTTTGATAACCTAGCAAGATAACTGGTAGAAAGCAAGTACCACTCATTGGCTAATCTGCGGAATTACGGATTGTACAAAGAAGTTAATTAAAAGAAACTGCCTCCGCTCGATCGTACTTAGAAAAACAAATTACGTTTTATTATTTTACATTCTCTGCAATGTTAGCATTAGCGTCTCCATTTATTATATCTTTGTCTCAGCTCGGCTCATCTTAGTAAATCGTGATTTCCGTCAAGCGAAAAGATTGTACCGCAGATCTGATTTATTTAGGCACGTAATAACGATAAAGAACAAAGGTCTTCGTCCTACGTGCCCAGTCTGATCCCGTGTTACCGCTCCATCATCGCACATTCAAACTTAATTCCCACATAAAAATGTACTATGTACTCTTGTAATTGGTTTAAAGGCTGTTCAACTACGTTTTTGTAACAGTAAAGTACGTACATTTCCTGTCCCGCTGGGAAAACGCAAGGTCAAAAAACCGAATACATCATGGCGCGAACTTCGCAGTACTCTCTAGTGGCTGAAAAGTCATTATTCATACCCAAGCCATAATAACTTGTTATCAGTGAACAAATACAGAACGGAATATAGCCCATAACTAGGTGCGATAACAAATACTCTGATAGTGCTACAAAAGAATTGGCTAATGCCGTAGTTTTACTTCGACGAGTGTAACGCTCTATAACCCTTATCAGGTGTTGAATGTGGAAACTAATTTCTTGTATGAATATTACATCTATCTGATAAAACAAATCAGCAACAATACAATATCAATACAAACCTTAATACAATACATTTCTGTATTTAATGAATCTTTGAGAAAATATGTCACTCAACGTAGGAAAATCATTTGTATGATTTCCACGATACTACCAAATGTGTCTAATTGCTCAATCCTTGTACTTATTAAACAAACAAATTGAGTTATAATGTCCAAACGAAGCCACACATGTTTAGAATTTCTTAAAACATATCTTAACACAAAAAATAACCTTGGCCTTGATTTAGATTAAAAGCGAAAACTGTTTTACTAGAGTGTTCTTCTATGGCCGACGACGGTATTAAATCTCGGTAGGGAAATATATGGGTAGGGAAAATCAGCCTTACTTCTAAGAAATAAAGATGATGCTAACATCAAATAATATCAGGTAGCTCCCCTTTTTCATTAGTGTGTAAAGTTTGCGTTCCTCTCTAAACGGGACTAACCCTCTTACCGCATATCCACTATAATCTGTACCCTGTAGGTATATGTTTGAGATAGAGGTGTGTGCGGTCATATTACACAGGTGACAAGGCGCTCACGTGTATGAAAACATTTTATTATTGGGCTGGCAACGAAAATGTATCCATAGCGAAGTAGAAACTCCTTTTTTTCTGGTAGACCTTTTTTCAAATACCATCTGAATCTTTGATTCAGCCGAAAGTCCGCAAATTACAAAAAAGGGTTACAGGGACTTCTTGGTTAAATTAAACCTTGGACAAATTTTTTGCTGGTCGCTTACTATAAGCTGTTCAAAGACTATAAGTATGTGAACTTCTTGAAATGGCCACATCTTTCAATAAATTATAATATAGCGCAAACGGAACAAGGTGACTGCATAAATAAATTCTTATAAATATCAGTCATCATTGAAACAGTGACTAAATACGGACACCAGACGTCATCTGTCAGCAAAAATAAATCCATCTACTGAATAACCTATTATTATAACTGGACGCTATTAACATTTAGACTAAACATCCGAGACATTCTAGAATTTTCGATACAGACAACGGATAAGACTGTTGAAATAACAAACATGTTTTGAGTCAAAGATGAGGCTGTATCAGATTAGGATCATATTCAAATGAATATTGACAAGCATAGTTAATTGACAAGTTTTACACAATACGAACCTCATTTTTATGAAGTCTACTAAAATGGTAATTCTAAAAGCTTCTTTCAAACCCTCACCACACGTACAAACATGCCTACATAATTTTCACTATCGATTTTTTATGATAAACGCCATGCGGGCAGACATAAGCACTAGGTGCTTCAGTGCTTCAAATTGTACCTTATTATGGCACATTTGTTGTTGCCGTTATCCAAATTCCTTGAAACACACTACCTCGTGAACTATGGTTATGAAGGCATTGTGTCATCGTGTTTTCTCAACAAGTGGAACTTTATAGACAACAAACACTCCAACGTAGACCAAACTTATGTAGAGTTACCATAGTTATGTTTTCTGAATACGTAAACCGAGAAACAGACTCAGATTGTCCTTCATTTCCTCAACATACTAAAAGTTAAAGGAGATAATAATTCTACATCTTTCGTGCTACGAAGTTTCTAATCAATACCAATTTGATATTGGTTTATCGTATGAATCAGTCTTCTACGTAAAAAGTATAAGGCGAAAAAACTGGCATGCGCATATTACTAATACGTTTTTAGTCGGTCATAATATGCTTATCGTAATTGGAATTCACACGACAAGACCACTTATAGTAACGACACAGCTGATGATAGTGATGATAATTTTTTACAGGCATGTCAAAACTTGACAAGGCGCATCGTTAAGTATATCGCATAAGTACCTGATATCGCAAACTGCATTTTGTGTCCAGTACCTATCGATTATTCGATTGGTCACATAGTGACACATACGAGTTTTTGCTATAGGTTTATTGCATCATAAAACACTAAAGAATTTTGCTTTGATTAATTTAAGAGATATATGTAGGTGTGGTGATCTCCATGCATATACCCATCATGTGATAGGTATAGAGACGCCTAACACATCAAAAGTAATCTAATTTCTTCAATAAAGTTTCGAAAGAAATTAGCTAACCGAAACTGGTGTTAGTACCTACCAAATTAATAAAATGCCAAACATTGTTTTACGGCTGGCCTTCGATGTTAAAGTTAATTAAAATCACCATTATTTTTCTTTAAGGTACTTTTCTTTTATGCCTAATTTCAAAGACTGAATACGGGTCCATAATTGGTTTCACAAAAAAGTAGCTTTAAATAATATTCTTAAGATTAGAAAATAAGAGGACAGAATGTCTTGAGCCTTAAATTCGAATTTTACTCCGATTACATTAAATTATGTCTAATTACATATTATAAAAAGCTGAAGAGTTTGTGTGTTTGAATGCGTTAATCTCCGGCACAACTGGTTCGAATGCAATAATTGTTTTTGTGTTGGATAGTCCATTTATCGAGGAAGGCTATAAAAAAACATGACGCTATGATCAATAGGACTCGAGCAGACCGGGTGCAACCGCTCGGGAATTGCTAATTATAACTAATTTGTGTTGCCCATCTTTTCCCACCAATACTATATTTCTAAGTCTATTATCATTTTGCTTAACGAACCTCTTCGTTTACAACTAAACGTAAAACAATGGCGTCAGTTTATCTAAACAGATCTCCCACAGAGGAGCCACAACGTGTTCATAATAACTCCGGCCTTGGAATATCCCTGATCTACTTAACAGCGTTTGTTGATACGATTATATTACATCTGAGGATACACAAACATATCCCCTTTATACACATCCATACAACTTATATATTTAGTCACCATGTTTTTTTTTTAATTTTTTACCCAAAAGGAGATTTTGCTGATGGCCTCTACAAATTAAAATGAATGTGATCGCATAATAACACGTTAACTTGTATAATATCGTCATTAAACATGATAGAAATACATAATTCTTACTAGTTTCACACTTTCTACATTTGAATGGGAGCTTATGTGAGTTATTAGGTCATGAATTACCATAAATATAAAAAATTTGCATTAGTTTAAAATGCACGGTCATATTTACGGTAAAAACACAATTCAAGGTAAGTATTATATTTGAAAAGAGAAGGTCCCCTAATTTAAAAGAAGGTTCTTCAACAGCACTATCACTCAATGATTTTAGCGTTTTATTAGTCCCTCTAATTTTTCCGAATCATGCGATGCGGTGCAGTAATTGTATTTTTTTTCCAATAAGGGAATTCCTTATTATGAAAAAATGGCAGTAACACACCTTGTGATGGCAAGGGAGCGATACAATTTAATATAACATTATTGATTTTATACGCAACTAGCTGTCGGCATCGCCCTGCCCACGCTCGAAGGCTTCACTGAGAGTCTTGTTGTCTTCACCCGCAAAATACATTTATGGAAATTGTGTGTACTTAACCGAAGCATTCGATAAAATATTCAATCATGTAAAGTTCATAATAAAACTTGATTAAAGTCCATTCAACGTCGCCTTTACGTTTTAACCTTTTATTATTTGACAGCGATTGCAAACGAATTGGAGCTAGAAGGTATGCATGATTTATCAGGAAAATTGATTTGTACAGCGGCGCTGTAACTGCGTGTCTAGGACACAGGTGCGTCATCTTGCTTGACGCAATTTTCGCAGCGTAAACAATCTACAGACATCAAACGATATCCAATTCTGACGTCACCCACACATCCGAGGGTCCACTGCCGTTGTGTTCTCTTAACATAGCACATATACTTAGAAATCTAATTAGCTAATGGAGCATCACATCACATCGTAAACATTACAAACGAAGGTAATTATCTGAACTAATTGCTTCCTGCTTTCGATGAAATTCGTTTGATACATATCCCGGAATACCAACATTCCACAAGCATTTTTACATAAAAATTGCCAGTTGTCAGTGTCGCAGAACAATTAATTTCAATAAAAACGATTTACGAGTAATTGATTGTGAATTTCCAATGACAATAGTAAACAATCCGTCTTCATAAGTACGGCTTATTCTCAGTTCTATTCATTTCGAATTGAAACTTTTTGCTAAAGTACTTTAAAAAAAAGTGACGTAAGCCCACCTGTGGCGACACAGACAGTCTTAACAAAGACACCTTGTCTTTTGTATTGTTGTTGAGACAAAGATACGAAAGTTACAAGTTTGCGATGAAATCTTATCAACGTTTTGTGGAATACGCGCAGTTTGTAGATGGTTTACGAGGAAAGGAAAGTAGTTAATCTACGCAAGATCCTGTTATGAGATATTACTAAGCAATTGGAAGGTGTTTTACCTGTTGGCAAGTAATGAATAGTGCGGCAAATACGAAGATGCCGGCGATACCCTGTGCGCCAGGGGTTTGGAGAAACATGCCCTTATCGTGGGGTACGTCCTTGATTACATCCGATATTGGTTGAGCCGTTACGTTGATGGTCTCCGTCGAGCTCATTCTGTAACAAAACAAAGAAAATTTAATCTAATACATCCTCTTCTAACTGTATTTGTTATTGATAGTGTCTACTTTCTTTAACAATTATTTCCTTATAGTTACTAGTCCTATTCACTAGTGAGACCAACTATTCATCTCGCTTTCTGCTTTATTTAAAACGATGCAGTTCATGATTTCTCACACTAACTAGGTAAGTAGTTGACTCACTACTACAGTTATGAGGCAATTTACGCACAAACAACATTTTATTGCAATTATCGCCCTCAATAAAGGTAACTCTGGTTTCATTGAGATAAATAACAAAGATGAACTGTATGGTCCTTAGATTAAAGACTTTAAATGTAAGAAAATCGTTAGTGAAACGCACAAAGTAGTATCTTATTAAGTTTAAAACGGAATGGTTCTTTGAAATGAGTATTTAGCGGCAGAAGTGAGTCATTTCAAGTTATTTTTCCAACATTACTGTACCGCTGACTATTCTGGGTTTTTAACACATGCAAAATAAATTAATGGCGTTCCAACACAAATATACATACTACCTTCACGATTCCTACGTTTGTTTCGGCTCGTACCGTATCAGAAAATACGGAAAACAAAATTTTAATACTTCTTCAAGCAAATTCAAAACAATGATACAATCAATGTTATTTACATTCTTTTTCCATTCAAAACAAACAATTTGATAGTCATCTAGTCAAAATATGATGCTATCTATTGTTTCAGCATATAACATTGTATTGCTCTCGCTATTATTCAGTTGTAGGCCTGGCAGCGAGGCCTGTTCTATAACAATGCAATATCAAAACAATAAAATTGAATCCCAGAGGCGCTCGACTAATCAAATGAATCTGGCTTTGACCATTACATGCGGTACATAATGTAACTACTAGTCATACATAAATTAAAATAAGTTCATCCGTAGTTATACAGAATGATCAAAGGTTAAATTTCACCTTCATGCAGTATGCGAATGCCAAAAATGGTTCTAGTTCCGAGTAAACTACATCATATTGTTATCTAGTGAGGTTTTTTAACAAGCATTATTTAAATTGTACAGATATGAGGTATTGCTAGATTGAACATGATAATGTAACTGTTATTTGATCGTTTTTTTATAACTACTTTTGTAGGCAAACGGATAAACCGATGGTAAGTGATCGACCAACCGATGGTAAAACGGAGCCTGTTATGAAGCATTTAAAACATGTCCGCTTCTGGTAAATCATTTAATTTTAGCAATTGTTAAATGCACGCCAACAGTGCAAAAGAGGTCGGAAATAAGATTGATAATACACTCGAATTGAACCTTCTTATAACTAGGAAAAGATTTTTCGGTCAAGGTGTGGAATGGGGATAATAAAACAGTCAAAACTAGATTCCGACTCCAAGGTTAGCCAAACGATCTGACCTAACCGTGACCTGTGAATATGAGGTTTTACGGAGATATGAGCACGTCCTAGGGCCCAAAATAGGTACTATGGAGGTTTACATTGACTCGCACAGTAGCCGTAAACTAAACCCATCTGACAAATCAATTTAACAGATTTTCAACTTTATTGTTTTGTTTTAAAGCTGAAATTGAATGAACACATAGCTAGTAGTAGATTGACATGCTGGTGCTTACTATACTGTACTAGAATTAGCAGGATGGAATGACACACCATAAAACACCCACCTAAGTGTCTATCTAAGCTATAAACCATAAGCAGATATTGATTTATCAGACAATGTAGTGGTTTATTGTTGTGCACAACAGATTGTCGCGTAGCAGAAAGAGAGAAAAAAACTATACTGTATATAGGTACTCTAAACACGTGCCTGTCAAGATTCTATACAGGTAGGTCGCTACTTAAAGGAGGATATTATCGCACCTGGTTCTAATGAGCCACGTCTTGTTCAGGATTTACTTTTAAAATATCCCATCAGTAGTTAAATGACAGTGCATTTAATTATTACACTGAGGCAGGATATTGTAACTTAATAGTTCCTTACTCCTTTGTCTTGTGATCTGTACATTATACGATACAAGCGAGGACTAGGAAGTCTCTAGTTTAATCACCATCTGACTGAAAAAGTGCTCATAGGTTTCCCAATCTAATATAGAATATTGGAAATACGAAAGAAGGAAAAGTACCTATGTCTAAACAAGGTACCTAATTGGGTACTTTTTTTTTAAGGGCGGGAAATCATCGAATGTCTGCTCCCGCCTGGGTGAGGCGGGAGGGAGTGTCAGACTCTTACTGACTAAAAACCACCCCGTTCCTTCTCCTGCACGTCAAGCCGGAGCCCCGGTTACCCGTTAGGTTCTCCGCGACGGTAATTGGGTACTTGCACACTAGTCAAATTCAATACTTTTTTCGAACTGTCAAAAACGACAGTTTTCTATGAATTTCGTACGAGATTGTGTAACAACATACATATTACTAAAAAACTAGCAGGAAAAATACTACAATTAAGTTAGTCAATTAATGAAAGTTTAATTATTTTTTAATATTTTATTGTATTGAACAGTCCAAATAATTTATTTTTGATTAAGGCAAGCACCCAATTCAAATGACTCCCACAGTGTTAAAGTAAAAAGTTACACCTAGTTATGATTAACTATAGGTGTAACTTTAAGTAGTTGTACTACCTATTAACTTCTTAGTGATATTGTTTCATGTCATTGCCCCATACATAAACCATTGTTAACAAGAGAGTAACGTTGGAGTTTCTTCCTTTTTCTTCTCAATTCGAAACTACACTTTGGAACAAGTCCCTAGCTTCCCTAACAATTCAATTTGATGTTTCAAAAGTGTTTAATCAAGGATTAATTGAAATAAATGCTTTGATTTTGACAAAGTAATATTAATCTTACATACGAAAATTTTTACTTTGAATACATAAATATAAGTCTTAATATTTCAAATCGAGAGTGGAGAATTAATTAGAGTAATCTTTCTGTTTTCATGGTCTCACAAACAAACCACTAAAATGAATAATATTAGTTACTACTTTACTACAAAATGGCTAAAGGGATCAGGATGAAATTTGAAACAGGGGTAGATATGGTCTGAATTTAGACATAAACCTTTTATTTATTAGGAAAGCTAGCAAAGCCATTTGCAGAAGCTAGTAATAAAATGAATTGATTAATCATTAAATATTAATTCTTTAGCCTTAACATTTATTTTAGTCTCAGCCTTAGTATAATATTGTTGTATCAGATTGAACTGACTCACTGGCCTTGGATCTACAATTAAGTGAGACTGGTTCACTCATTTAAATGTATTTTTTATCAAACTTTATTAAGGAATCAATCTGATTTAAACTACCTCTTTCTTGTATAAGAGAATTGAACTGTATTGTCACTTAGCAACAATATTACCCTGTTGAAATATCATACCCTAAATTTATTCATACAAAAGTAGTCTCTAAACATTGGATATAAGGTCTATAATCTAGTTAGTGGAGAGCAGCCACCGGTGACCGCTTGGGGATTGAGCAGTTCAGTACTATTTAATTGTTTTTACTATCAAGTCTTAATAGGACTTGAATCCAAATTGAATATTATTAGTAAACAATTAGGTTTGTGGTTAGTTCGGAAGATTTTGGTAGTATTGTATGAATTGGTAAATAAAGACATTATTAGTAACTAATTAATGTATCATTAATTGGACTATTTTGTATTCTATAGTGAATGGGCTATAATATACTTTTAAGTACATACTTTTGCTTTGTAAAAACATAAAAATATACCTATTACCTACATAAGACCAACAAACCTCAACAATATTTACCGTGTTTATAAATCTTGTTATGTATTATCTGAATCTTATCATGGTTACTTGTGATAGTATCTAAGAAACATATAACACAAGATATAGCAAGAATATCTTTCTCTCTCCCTCTAACAAAATAAACAACTAAATCCTGTTTCATTACCGTTAATAACATTTTTATATTACACAGCAATACTGTTAGCATTTCAAAAGTTCCAGACTTATCTATTAATGAATAATGTTCAATATACATTTGATAAGATAATGGCTGACTAATTGGAATCAGTTATCACAATATTCATGAATACAAGTTTAAGAATAGTCTGTGGCCCGGATAGTTATCAGAATTAACATTCTTAACATTATTTTCAAGACAACAAGGTTTAATATAAGATTGACACAATATAACTTCCTTTTTTATCGGAGCATTCCGCAACATACTTTGATTCCTTGTCATAGACATATATATATATACCTTATATACGTTTATATACCTTAACCAAAATAAGCTGCAACCTTAAAAATGCATATTATATTGGGACCAAACCATGTGGAAGATGTTTCCCCTTATCTAATCTAATTTAATCTAATAGTTACTATAAATGTAAAATTTTGTTAGTATGTTTGTAATTCAATTACTTGATTATGGAACACCTGGAATTACTATGGAATGCTAATGAACCCACTGGCAGAAGCCAGTCCAAGTTTTAAAGATTTAAAATAAAAATTCTAGAGTAATGTAACTAAAATATACCTACAGTAAAAAAACAGATCCTTAATTGTGTAATGCTGAATCCAGGTGATTATATGCACAAGAGTCATTTCATGAACCACAACTTGTTAGTACAATAGCCTACTTTAATACACACACATACACCAGTCCTAGGACCTTAGTAACACACAATTATCTAGGAACTGACTACTAGGGCAATTTTTGAAAATAAATAAGTAGGAACAATAATGATAAGAATGAGGTCATGTTAATAAACAGAATTCTGTTTACAAGCACTGTTAGTCATCAGTGTCTTGTTATTACTTAAAACAAACAGACAAACAAACCTTTGATATTAGTCAAATACTTTATTTCGTTACTAGTCAGATAGTTAAATAAGATGTTTGATTTAGTTCTGGCTAGCCCAATTGTTTTGTAAAACGATTGCTTCTTATGAAGTAGCTACTATGATTATGTCAGAACACTACAGTTGTAGGAAATAAATTATAAGATAAGCCAATACCCAGGCAATATGATTTCACAATATTGATCTACAAAATTTAATATATTTGTAACATGTGAGATTTTCTAAAAATTCTGTTCCTTAACTCGTCGAGTACCGTATTTATAGACACAATTAAAGAACAATAGGTTGCGGTCACCGGTGACCGCTTGGTGTTTGACAGTTTAAATGACTATTTGCAATAAAATTTTAAACCATTAGTATAAATTACTAGAACTTCTAAGGCCAAACTCGACGCAAATTGAATTTCTAAAAAAATATCATGAAAGAGGAAATAGAGCAGGTAGTTTATTAGTCATTTACATTGCTACTTAGCTCTTAGTGAATATTGTGAAGGGGGATTTTTATTGGTTGAATAACACATGAGGGTTCAAAATAAAGTAAATTGATATTAAATAAAGAATTGTATGACATACAGCTATGAGAGTTGCGGTCTTCATAACATTTTTATAGGAAACAAAGCCTGTGCTAGGATTAGTTGCTAGAAAACAATCTGACTTTAAAATAGTGATAGATTTTACTAACCATTGTTCTTTGTAGTAAATACTAGTTGGCTGAGCAAAACAAATGTTTCCATTCCAACCATTTAAAAGCAAAATAAAAAAAAACATTATGTTTCTCAGTGAAATGCAATAGACAATTGAAATTCACTCCTCTCTCATGAATGATTACAGCAATTTTCTAAATGTAGGTATCTGTGCCATCTTTCTCTACAAACTACCTCACAATATAAATTATGATTGGAGTAAATTTTTTGTTTACAATCCATCTTTCTTTTATGTAGAAGACTTTCTCTAAGATATATAATAATAATTAATGGTGCATTAATTAAGACAATAAGAAACTATTTTCTAACTGGTTCCAGGTAGTTGTTATGTTGTTCAATCACCATTACAATTCGCCTACATACTAAGTGGAACAATATTGCTGCAAAAAAACAAAATCCAATAGTATGCAATGGAAACCTCCACATATTTGTGCTACAAATCGTACATTATTACGGAACTCGAAAATTGGAGGTCACACGTCTTGACATTTTCTTGTTTGGTGTTTAATATTAAGTGAAGGGCGATACGTTTACTGACGCACTAAATTACAATGTTGCAATTCCGTACACCAAAGATTATCGATTCTATTGTTTAAGATCATAAAGTGCATGCTATATTTACCTGATTTAAGATTAACAACGTCTCTAAATTACTGTTTTCCTTTTGTTAACAGATGTCATTCGTAATCAACACTCTGCGCATATTGTACACATAATCACGTAGATTTCCTACACAACAATGTTCACGCAAAGTATCTTGATGCAAAACGAACACAAACGTATATTTAACAAAACACTGCAAAAACAACAATTTCACTTTGCTTGCTTTCCCATCATTTACTTTGCTCACCACTTGCACAAATTCGTGATTTCGTGATTGTCTTCGTGACGAATTGACGTTTGGTTTAGTTGATTTTTTCCTACTACCAAACTTACCAATTTACTAAAACTGTGGATTATTTTTTAAACTGGCAATATTATTTTATGATTTCGGTAATCGCTATATTCGCTATTCTTGAATGATATCTTAGATCTTCGAAAACTAATAGATGTCAAGAATAGTAAAGTATGTTATAAACTTTTAGGTATTAGATAATTTATTATTTTTTTGCTTACTAAAGTTGTAGTAATTATAATGAATAAATTCATTTTTTAACAAACTGTTTCACCTTTCACTAGAAGGTATGAATGTATGCGCAAAAGATGGTTTAAAGTTGCTGTAGGTACATAAAACTTTCTATCATAGAAATGTCTATGGTATGGTAGTTTTGAGATGTTTCACTGCTGGCAATATTTTTATCTACCATAGACAATTAACAAAAATGAAAATGTCCGTCGTGAAAGATACGCTCTAATTTATTTTGTGACTATTTAATATTCGTTGCTTGCGATGTGAATATTTTGTAGTATTTATATTCTTCTAAGTGCATATAATCCACCAAGATGATTGTTCAAGAACCTATACAGGTAAGTAATAATCAGCTTTTCCGATAACTGTCAAATGAAATATTTTCGTGGAGAGACGTTTCAATTCATTTTAAATTCCCACAGGTTATCGTTTGGGATTGTCTCAATAATTATGAATACGACAATGCTATATTTCTGGCTGAGAGACTACACGCCGAAGGTAAACATAAATCATCTATTTAGACTAAAATTTGCCAAATTTAATCATTGTTTAACACCTGCATATAAGGTGCTGTTATTGATTTTTACGTAATTCATGATTTCGAAATTAATTATGCGCTTACATATCGTGCTTTATCATCAACGTTTTAATTTCTGTTTCAGTGGCATCGGAGGAAACTGCTTTTTTACTGGGAACTTGTTATTATAGAGCTGGGAAAATAAATGAGGCTCAATACTTGTTGCAAAACATGTCATTGACTTTACCACAAGCCAGATTCCTGCTAGCTAAATGTTTCTTGGAATTAAAATCGTAAGTAATACTTAAAACTTTAGCTAATTAGTTTGTTACTGTGCAAATAAATAGTTCAATTCTTTGTTATTTACTTCATACATTCTGTAATTTCTTATTTCAGATTTAAAGATGCTGAACTTACACTTGGAAACAATTTAGATATTGTTGCTTCTGAATTTGGAGAACAAGCACCTTATGCATTACAACTCCTGGGTAAAATATATAATCTCACTGAAAGGAGAAGCAAAGCTGTAGAAGCTCACAGAAAAGCACTTTCATTGAACCCGTTTATGTGGAAATCTTTTGCACAACTGTGTAACATGGGTGAGAAAGTAGACCCTCACCAAGTATTCCAAATGAACAATACTGACTTTACATTTGGTGTAACTACATTAGTGAATCTAGTCAGCAATTCAGAAAACATTTCATTTGTTAATAGTAACAACATTCCTAATAATACTGCTATGAATACTAATGTCACACCCAACAATGTGGCTACGAGAACCCCTATGACAATGTCCACTAGCATCACACCCGAGACTCAAGCTCCTGTGAAGAGAATGCATAGTGTGTTCAGTGGCATGGCACCTATTCCTTTTTCACCCTCTTTTGGTATGCTACCGATGGAAGAATCTCCTGTACTATATACACCGACTCTAACAGACTCTAATGAGCAGAAAGCCATACCTAAGATAGTAAACTCATTACGAGCACAAATGGGCCAATTAAAAGATGCAGTATTCAGTCCAGCTCCTAGATGTACTCTCGGACCAGCTCCACGGCGGTCATCTAGATTATTTAGTAATAATAACAGCAGTTACTCAGTTAAAGAAAATAATAAATCTCCAAGTAGAAAATTTGTAGCTCCTAAAAGTCCTTCAAGAAAAAATAAGCAGCGTACAGCCAAAAATCTCAAAAGTAACACAGTAGAAGCTAATGAAAGGAATAATAAAAGTGTAGAGACGGTTACACCAACAATTCCACCAAAGAACTCCAATGGTGTGGCTTTGTTAAATTTAATGCGAGATTTGGGAGAAGCCTACAAGTCACTGGCATTCTTAGATTGCAAAACTGCAATTAAACTATTTCAGGAAACATCACCAAAGCAACTAGCGTCTCCCTGGGTCCAGACTATGATAGCGAAAGCACATTATGAACTAGCTCAATATGAGGCAGCTGCAAAAATTTTTGCTGAAATTAGAAAACAATATCCAAATCGTACAGAGGGCATGGATATTTATAGTACCTGTTTATGGCATTTGCAACGAGAAGCACAATTATCAGCTTTATCTCAAGAACTAGTTGAATTGGATAGGAAAGACCCCATAGCTTGGCTTGCTGCTGGTAACTGCTTTTCTCTTCACAAGGAAAGAGAAACTGCATTAAAATTCTTCAAACGAGCTGTTCAATTAAACCCAGAAGCAGCATATGCTCATGCTTTATTAGGACACGAATATGCAGTTGCTGAGGAAACAGACAAGGCTCTTTCTAGCTTCAGAGCAGCAGTAGCAATTGACCCACGTAATTATGTTGCCTGGTTTGGGATTGCTACAGTTTATGCGCGACAAGAACGTTGGAAGCCTTCTGAAGTGCACATTCGACGAGCTTTAACCATACATCCTCATTCGGGAGTTTTGAGGTGCCAATTAGGATTAGCACAAGCAGCTCTAGGCAAAATGGACAGAGCTCTTGCTACTTTAGAAAGGGCTGTTGCTTTAGACACAGAGAATCCTTTGTGTCGCTTCCACAGAGCTTCTGTTTTATTACGGGCTGGTAAACCAGAAGAAGCTTTAGCAGATCTGCACCATTTGAAAGATATTGCGCCAAGAGAATCATTAGTATATTATTTACTTGGAAAAGTTCACAATAAGTTAGGCAATTCTCATTTAGCATTGATGCACTTTAGCTGGGCTACAGACTTAGATCCTAAAGGCACGGGAGGACACATAAAAGAGGGCTTTGACCCATCCAAACAAGAAGACCCGCCAGAGAGGTCGACCTAATTGGTATGACGACTTAAAAAGGATTTAAAGGATTGCAGAATAGCCTGCACTGTTGTGGTTGGCAATGCAGTCAATACCTGACTGATCCCATGTAAATATCGCTCTCACCCGTCGAGCTCTTACTGACACCAAATTCTTCCAACAAAGCTTTATGGGGTTTGATGGGTGTGTGGTGGCATTTAGTCGCTATAGTAATAAGGGCGTATGTGGATATGTTTATATAGAGTAAGATGTGGATATTCGTAATGTTATCCTAGTTTATTATATATATCTTGTATAGCTAATAACTTTTAGAAAAATGAAAGAATATAATTTTTAAAAAGATGATGCTTTTGAAAGTTAATAAAGACTCAGAGCCTTGATCTCAATGGGATGTTATAAATAATAATCATATAATATAGAGCCATTAAATAATTGAAGTTGCAAATTCTTAAAATGCCATAATTATGAATTCCTGAAATCTAAATCTACTAATTGTTGTCCTCATATTTGTAAATAGAATCATTCCGTGCAGTGTGTATAGTTCCTAGAGAACAACTGGCGGATTTACATAAACATATAAAATCATGTAAACCAATATTATAAATCCTTGCATGAAGGTTTTATTTTGTATGACAGATAGCTTTGGATGTTAGTTTGGCTGGGGTCATAGAATTTGTTGAAACATGAAAACCAAATTTTTTGTATTCAGCTCTTGCTTCAGTAATCCTGGATCTTGTTTCTTAGCATCAATAAAACTGTTTCGTGTTTATGTACATAATAACACATTAACTTTATAGCACCATTGTCATTTGACATCACCAATGAACTGCTAGCTATGTGGACAAACTTGTTTAGACCACCTAATGTATGAATTTAATAAATAAAACTGATGTAATTTGCGGTCGTGTTTTATTGTCAGTAAATGCTAAAAAATAACATTGTGTCAATTGCATCTACTGAGGGAAGTAGCATTTCGCGCCACTTCCAATACAGTAAACTTTGATAAGACCATATAGTTACAGAAAAACAATGTATAAATAAAATGTTGACCCACAATATAAAACAACATACTTTTTATATTTCTGATATAATTATAGAGATACCATAATGAAAAATAAATGCTTGTTTACTGTACTGTATTGGGCTTCCCATCTATCGTTTCACTTTTCATTTAATTAACTATGTAACAGTAAATAGTCTTATCTGCTTAATTGTAGTAGTACACTGGAAGTATCGTTTTCGGTTTATCAATCTTCTTAATTACACATTTTTTCTGAACCAGGCACAGACTCACGAACTAGTCACAAACTGCACAGTATAAATTCTTGAAACACAATAAACAGAGTCACAATGTCTATGCAAACTTTTGTAATATTGAATCTAGTGCTTTTCTAACAGTGGGGTCACTCAGCAGTTTGTTCTGTGTAGTGGGTGGCGCGGGGGCCGGCGGCGTCGGGGCCGCGGGGGGCGGCTGTTCCACCGGCGGCGGTATCACTTTCTTATCATTTAATATATTAAGAATTCTCTGTTGAAGATCTACTTGTGTTTTGTTGCTAGGGGCCGGATTCAATGGCTCCCCAAGCTCTATTTTCACTTGCTGCTCTCTCCGTTCCTGTAAAATCAAAATTTAATACGTGAATAATACGTGTAATGAAATTGCGAATGAAAGATTACAATATAAAAAATGGGATAATAATGAAAGTAAACAAACCTGTAAATACTCTATGACTTTATCGTACTGCAGAACCGTGAGGGTGCGTCCGTCAGCGAGCTGGCCGAGTAACGCGTATACTGCCTCTCTACCAGAGGGACCACCTCTTTGGACCTCTTGAAAGTTGCGGGATAACAACTGAAGGGCATCTTCCAGTGGCATATTCCGATGTTCTATTAGAAAAAAAGAAGACATTTTAGCATACAATCATACTATTCCTTAAAGCTTAGAGTAATAATCACAAAACAAGTGTAAATATATGAGGTATACGTTGTTTTGTAGCCCCTACATGTTCCAAAATCCCCAAATAGACAGCAACGCATTCGCAAACTCCTCTAGTTTTGTGGAAGTCCACAGGCGGCATCAATTGCTTACATCATCCGAAGATTCGACTACTCCAAAGCCCTATTCCATAAAAATCTATTAATATATTTTAAAAACTCACCTTGAGGCAGTCCATGAAGTATTGTAAGTGTTAAGGACCTATGTTCCTGATTTTGTGGCATTACTAATATTGCGTAAAGACAGCCGCGAGATGCGATGTTGCCAAGGACTTTGCCAATCGGTACATCTTCCATGGGAAACAGAAGATCAACCACAATTCCTAGCCTTTTGAGTCGACCTTCAATGTATTCTGCATATTCACTGTAAATAAAAAAAAATAAACACGATTTATAAAAAGAAACCAACAAATAGTATTTCGTACTTTCAAAAACAAACATATCGCGCTTTACAGACGTAGAAACGGTAAAAAAATATATATAATGTTCAGGAAGCTACGAACTACTGTCAGTTATTTATTGGGTTCATACAATTTACAAATTCTCAATACTAATACTAGTAGCACTAGCGACTACACATTCGACTCGTAACGATCAATTTGTTTATATCTTGAATGTTAACCATGGAGTGTAAACGCATTGGAATGTTTATACACAAGACTTTAAGTAAATAACTTGTCTGACTAGCTTCTATTCGGCTAATTAGCTTCGATAAAATACCATGAAACACTTAAACAGATTTTATTAATAGGTACTTACGTAAGAGATTTAGAGACGACAATAATTTCACAATCATTTCTCTCCGTGACAGGTAGCGCTCTAGGATATTCTGACATTTGTTGATAGCGGTCGTAACTGCGCTCTTTCCATTCACCAACTAAACAGAAACCAAAACAAATAAACTCACTAAACACTAGACACGTCTAACACAAAAAAGACACAACAACACTTGAATGAATAAGAGACTAAAAATAAAAATCAATTGCGATGAACAATTTTTCTACGAGTTGCGCAATTTGATATATCCAGAATAATAATGTGCCATTTAACCTCGTATGATTGGTACATATAAATAGTAAGTACCTATGTATATATATAGGCAAAAAGATGTTTACATTCCAGGGATATCAAATGTCTATGTCTGGGTTGTTCCTAACACTATGTTATCAAAAATATGCTCAAAGTCCGATATTGTCTGTTTCTTTTTATAAAGATGGAAGATTACCTTGAGTCGTTGAGAACAAGAGCGCACGTCTAGACGTCAATTTCAAAGTAAATCCCCATTCTGGTGATCGATATCTTTATTATTCCCTTCTCTTGCCTTACACTTACCCTCTGGGACATTAATTACGCCCGAAAACTGAAAGGCTACTCAGTTTTAAATTGTACTTAAATATCGTGCCATCTCTGTCACTTTAGAAGGAATTTGTAGTGATAGAACTATACTTAAGCGCGACTTAAAATTAGCCATTCAGTATTCGGGTGTTAGATATTCACTTGAGTTTTAAAGAAAACAAACACTCACGAAGAATGGGAACCTACTTAAAACATTAAAAAAATTAGGATATATGTATTTAATTTTATAAGATACTAAGTCCAACTATTATATTAAGTAGGTACTTGAGACTTAACATCACTTCAAAATATGAAGTCTTTAAAATGTAAGTAATATCTAACGCTAAATATGGTGACAGAGTCGCCTGCCCTAACATAAGTAGACACCTATTTAAAAATGAATTAGAAACGCCATCATTAACCAATTTAACTTATATCTTTATACTATTATACAAAGCTGAAGAGTATGTTTGTTTCAACACTCTAATCTCCGGAACTCCTGGTCTACTAGCCACAAACAATAGATCCGTGTAATTTAAATTTTAAATATTATTTATTGAGATCCGATTGCACAAAATAACTGCTAAAAAATTCGTCTTATTGTATTGTTACGGATGATTTCAATAACCTGTCAAGAGATGGCGCTAGGAGTTCATCACCAGAAAAACACACAAGGATATAGAAGCGAAGGATTATAGTGTCGTGATGAGGTGATGAGCACCGTACCCTAAGAAAGTTGGGAAAAAGTAGGAATAAGTTGTTTCCAGAAATTCTCAATTCCGCTTCTCAAAGCTCTGTGCTAAACAGAGCTTGGAATGATGCTTGGTGCATGGCAACAAGCTCGCCCCTTATTGCATAGGACTGGCTGAAACCCGTTTAGGAAATAAAAATAATGACATTTACGCTTGATAGCTTTATGGTGATCCATGCATTATGACTAGTATGTGTATGATTTATGACCTAAATTAATCATTGACTTTAATCTACTTCCACATCTTTGAAAAGATCTATGGAACTAAGTTTTTAGTTCATCAAATTCGGTTGTTAGAAGATATTGAAGTAGGTATTGTAAAAGTAATGAAATATGAATGATGATAAATAACAGACCTCTACCTGATACAGGGGAGCGGTCCCTGAAGCCGGGGGGAGCTCCACGGCCACGGCCACGTCCACGCCCTCTCGGGATTCCTCGCCCGCGCATTCCTCCCCGCCCTTCCCATCCAGGTTTACCCGGGTAACCTTCATCAAATTCTTCATCTCTGTAACCTATATTTTTATAAAATATTACAATTACGACACTCACTATCAACATGATGGAGTCTCCACTAATGATCAAGAATATATTTCCAGGTAAACTCTACATTAAAATTTCTTTAAGGGTCCAGAAACAGAGTTCAGAGTGTGTCCATAAGTTTACTATGTGAATCATAAATAATATTATATTATATTTAGCCTAATGTACTTACTCTGATCTCCAATATAATTTCCGAAATTATCATAAAGCTCTTCATTACCATCATCAGCCCCCTTATCATTGTGAGCCACTGCTGGTGGCATGTCAGATGCTGCTGGATCCACATGCCTACAAAAAAATTATAATATTGTAACTCATTGATCTGTAGTGTGCTTAGAAATAAATAAATCTTATATTTTATACTATTATATAAAGTTCATTTAGTTTGTTTGTTTGCACTAATCTCCAGAACTACTGGCCCGATTTGAATACTCCTTTTTGTGTTCCATAATGCATTTATCGAGGATGTCACTAGGCTATGAGACATCACGCTACTATATATGCTATAGTACTCTGATATAACATATAATTATCTACTTAATGTATTGAATTAAAAATTGCTGACTTTCACTTGAGATCCGTGTAAAATTGCTATCTTATGCATGGTTGCAGAGAGGGCTGGACAACCGGCTACCATGCAATGAGTAGACATGAGCAACTCTTTGTGTGATCCATAAATTGTTGTTTCGGGTTTGGGTGTCATGTGTATGTGAACTTGTGTGTTTGTAAACACACCCACAACATAAGAGACAATACTAGTGTGGTGTAGTTTTCTTAAAAATAAAAAAAAAAAACAAACAAAACTTTAAGCAGCTACAGCAGCCATTCACAGGCTGTATACTCCTATAAAAATAGTTGATAAATGTACAGATGCACATAAACATGGACACAGAAAGTTAGATAAAAGGTGACTGCATCCAATACATAATACCATTTATTATCTATTATTACACACAACATTATCATCATTATGACAGTAATAGTAGTCTATTGAATTACTGCCACTTACTTACACTACCAGAGAATGGTTTACAACTTTAATAATACAAAGATGGAAAAATAAGTTTCCATAGTTACACAGGGCCCCTTACATAATGTGATTTTCTTAAATAAACCGAGATACTTGAGTAGAAATAATTTTAGCACCACACATAAGCATTTAATTAATCAACATGCTGCGCTTAACTATTTAAAGCTGTGTTCGTAGTTTTATAGAACTATTATAAGGATATAGAAACCTGGTGGAGTTCATAGTGTAGTGAAATATTACCTCTTATCTATAACACCAATGTTTGTTTGTGCAGTTTTTACACTGAGACTCTTTCCTTGGAACATAGTCCCATTCGCTTTGACAATAGCTTCCTGAGCACTCGATTCTAGAGCAAACTGGACGAATCCAAAGTTCCTATTAATGACAATGCCATCTATTTCCCCATATTGTATGAAATGGTTGTATAACTCGTCAACTGAAGCACTGTCTTGTAAACCACCGACGTAAATACGAAGATGGGACGTTGCCCGGTCTTTCATGGCATGTCTATCTAGGGTTAATTTGTCTGAAAACAATATAAGGTTAAATTAGATCATAATAATTCTATTGCAGTGTTGATACTTTCATAGAAATTAGGTGTTATACACATTTTTATGAGTTTCTTGTGATAAACAAGTTAAGTAAGAACGTGTATCATGTCATTAAAATCATAATAGTATCATTAGTCAATTAGACATTTTGTTATTATAAAGTCTGTTTCATTATTTACCTGCCATCGTTACACTCTGAAAATTTATTCACGGCACAGTTACAATAAAATTATTATTTTGTATTGGTTTCAGCAAGACGCGCTTTCACAAAACCTCAATAATCCATAGACAAATATATATTTTTTTATTCTTCTATTATTTCTTGTGCTCTATGGTTCACCGTGTACGTGCATAAATAGTATGCATGAAAGAAATGATTTGGTCCTCGTCCTAATCCAGAATAAAACAAAACTATCTGAGCAATAGCCTCCGAATAAAGTTAACTCCGGGTCGCTGTTGCTGCCAACTACAATGTACACACAAGCGCAATGGCTGCATGCATTAGCATGCATAGTGCATCCATGGTGCATCTCTATCAACAGTAGCATGGCAACACAGGTCGATTTTGACACTAATGACAGTAGTCTCTTGACAGCATGGTTTATTGGGCAATGTTTGAATTTATTGAGGTTAGAATTTTCCTGGAAAATCGAGTGATTTTATTTGAACAGCGTTATATAATATAACAAATGAGAAAAAATATATTGTTTAATTTTTGAAAACTGCTATGGACAAGATATAAATTTCATATTTTCTTTATTTTACATCATTAATTTAATGTAAGTATTTTTTATGTTATTGCACATATCTTAATAAATTAACATTAATGATGAGATACCTACTGAGTAGAGAAAAAGGCTGTTAATAAATGGTTTTATGTGATAATCAGAATTGTTGAAATATAACAATTATTGGTTAATTTATTTCAACATTACCAAAAATTGGCTTTAATATATTTAGAGTACGCCGAAAATAAACTGCATCGATACGTAATATCTTGTTACTAATTACAGTTCGATAAAAAGTGCGTTAATAAAATTAATTTATCATTTAATTTTGAATTACATAGGTAATTAAAACATGTTTTTGCAAACTTTTAGAAGCCAATTTTACTCCAGTAATAAACAGTTACTTCTACTCAGACTAACTTACTTTTAATCATGCTGAAGTTTTGAACATCTGATTACAGTGCTTTAACCATATTGAAACAAGTTTAAATTATAGGTTTTGCTCTTTTCATAACAATTCTGTTTGTAACCTGACATGCATGCTTTGTCTACAACTCCATGAATCTATAATCAGTTTGGTAAAAATGGGTCACCACACAAGTTCCAGATAAATTGGGCTTTAATTTGCCATTTTTCCATTTGATACCTCCATTAATACTATAAGAAAAAATATAATTACTTAGTAGAACAATTACTTATTTTGTTCTAGATTATTCCATTGCAATGGTAATGAGAAGAGTGTTTTCCAAAGCTTACAAATCATATAAAATCGCAGTAGACAATGCATTTAGTGCCAAGAATCTGTTATACACAAATATCATGATATCCATGGGATCATCAAGTTGCGGAGATTTGTTACAGCAGTCTTATGAAATCATTAGAGAGCAACTTGTACGCTTTGATTTCCAACGAACGGCACAAATGGCATTCTCAGGGTTCACTGCGGGTGTAATTTGTCATCATTGGTACCTTATCTTAGATAGATTTATAATTGGTAGAACCATCTATATGGTGATCAAAAAATTGATAATGGATCAGTGCATCTGTTCCCCTATAGTAATATTGTCATTCTTTGCAACTGTAGCATTGTTTGAAGATGATCCTTTAGATAACTTTACAGTTGAAGTCTCCGATAAATTCTGGACTCTGTACAAAGCTGAGTGGGTTGTGTGGCCACCAGCACAGATTATAAACTTTTATTTTTTACCAACAAGGTATAGAGTAGCATATGACAACACAATATCTTTCGGCTATGATATCTATACTTCTCATGTTAAGCATTCAAGGTCTAAAGTTATTGAGAAAGAAAATGTACAAAAAGATAATAATGTAGGAAACGAAAAAACTAATGGGAATTAAGTATCGAATTAAGGATGAAAAGTGTTTTTTTACACTATATTGTTTTTCTATTATTGATTTATCAATAAATATTCTTTTTCAATATGGTATTCTGTTTAATTCAATGTAAAGAATGCAATTTTAGTTGTTTGTTAGTCCAGTAAGTCCAGTGGGTAGAAAGATGATATGATGCATGCTAATGATTCACTGCTAGACATTCCACAGCAAAAGATATAAATAAAAACAGGTGTCTGATGTGAGGTCTCTCATTATCTCAGCTCTTCATATTATCAAACCAATGCTAGCCAGTGAGCAATCAGAGTAGCTCTTGCTTACTGTACTGTATAGCACTGAAGCATTAGACTCAAAATTCCTAAAAAATATCAGTAGACAAAGCTGTGTTACTCAGATAATGACAATGAATTTCGATAGAGTATAGAGCATCCTGCGTAAAATTTTCTTATTTTTCATTCAGTATTCCTGACCAAGCCTACTCTCTACCTGACCAAGCCTACTCTCTACCAAGCAATTGTTATAATAGAGAATATAGAAATGTTATTTCTTGGTTATTTCGTTTTAATTTCGTTATACAAAATGGCTCGCTAGCTATAAACCTATAAAAACTCGTTTTATATTTGACATTAAAAAAATCAAGGTTGTGACGCTTGGGTGACGCCCATATGACATGACGCGTTCTGTTATGTTAATGTTATGTAATTAAAACAAAATCTTTTAACAATTCGTAACACAATGTTTTTATTTGCAGATAATGAAAATACTACTCTCCACATGGAGAAGCATAGCAGCCAATATACGAAGAACAACAGGAATTCCAAAAATTAAAAGTTTCACGAAAGTAGCATTTAGTGACAAATATTTATTTTATACAAATGTGACCATATCACTGAGCCTCTCGTCGGTAGGCGATCTGATGGAACAGAGTTACGAGATATACATTAAGGAACAGACTCATTATGACTTCAAGAGATGCGCGCACATGGCATTCTCAGGAGTAGCATTGGGGATCCTATGCCACCACTGGTACAAAGTATTAGATAAGTTTATAGTGGGAAAGACTGTGGATATGGTAATAAAGAAGTTGGTGCTAGATCAGTTTATATTCTCCCCCGTTATGATAATCACACTGTTTGGAAGCCTGGCCTTGCTCGAAGAGAACCCATACGAGAATTTCAAAGAAGAAGTGAAAGACAAGTTTGTGAAGTTGTACCGCGCAGAGTGGATGGTGTGGCCGCCTGCGCAAATCATCAACTTCTACTTCCTACCAACCAAGTACAGGGTGCTGTACGACAACACGATATCATTAGGATATGACGTGTACACATCACAAGTCAAACATACGAAGCCTGCGAAAGCTTTACTAGAAGACAAGATAAAACACCACTCTTGACGAAGGGTGTCCATGTCCACTAGCTGAAGTATCAATCATAATAAGTAGGTAGTAAGAATTTTTAAATATTAGTTTTAAAATGGCACTTATTGTCAATTTTTTATAATTACTACATTTTGTAGTCCTCTCAGTTTTTGTAAACATCTCGAGACATAAGCTTTGCTGTGATAAAACGTTACCTACATAATAGGTATTTATAATGTAATTAATAAATCAATTGAGTATGTTAAATATATTTTTGTTATACAGTAACTTATTGAATACGAAATAAATGTTTGACATAAAAATGATTTTTGGTGTTTAAAATATTCTCTTCCAAATAGCCAGTAGTTGAAACTCTTGCACTGTGCACACCTACCAAGTATTCGCTCGACTTTCCCCACAATGGAAGTCTCCCGTTTTTGGCTTTACTTGACTTACTTATTGTTAATTTCGAGTGCAATACAGAAAAGCATAAGTCGCAGGTACCTAATAAACCTATTCCTAATAGGAAAGTTTTCATAATTTCCAAGATTTTTAACTAAAACGAATTCTAAGTCTTCAATGAACACCAAAAAATTGCATCAACTATTCTACTTTGGTGTCATAAACGCTTCTTCCATTTGCGAGCTTCTTTTACTGGCTCGTAGACTGCTTATGACACTGCGAACTACAGAATCTTCATAAATCCTTTCGGGCCACGATTCCGTTTGCCTGCCGTAGCCGTGTCCAATCCCTTCCTGCACAGTTCTAGGAATCCGACTGGATCGCGGAGTCCCACGATGAGAAATAAAAGATCTGCCACGTTTACTCTCCTTCAAGCCAAGCAATGACGTCAGTAATTTGTCTAGTGCCGCTATGTCATCCATATTTGAAGGTTTGGGGCCAGTAGGAGTGCTGACTCCAGAGTTCAGCTGGCTCGACAACAAGGATATAGGAGTTCTCGACAGTCCAATAGTGCGGAAAACCTAAAATATTAACCCAAAATTAGAATAGCGGTTTTCCCGTTAGGATAATTTGAACCTACGTACCTACTACCATACGTACGTAGGTGTTATTTGTGATTGTAAATTCGTGACTTGCGTTGTTGTAATATTTTTTAGACAATTTAAATGGTTGTAAATATATAAAAAGGTCACGAGTCAGAGATATGAACTAATTTGATTGAGAGTCCTTGAAATCTTTATGAAACGGGTTCATAGATCTGGCTAAAACTGGTATTTTTGCTAGTTACGTAGCTACTACTTATTTATATTTATTATTATCTTTACATAATGAGTACAAGTGTAGGTACAACCCCGATAACGTCATGTTGTTAAAATTTATCTCGAAACGATCTCCGAAGGTTACGTATCACGCGCCGTTTTGATAACATCAGCTGTGCAAATAGTTACATTTTACGCAAAATATTTGGAAAAGCGTTTGGTTTCAATACCTCGTCAGCATTATGGCTCTGATAACTCATTCGTTTCACTTTCCTATAAGTTTCGTCGTCCAGAGCCTCTTCGACAGCGGCCTCTAGCTTTTCTCTAATGGCTTCATCACTTTCTTGATTGAGATCTTCCAGCACTAATCTGCGGCAATTAATGTCATTTTTGTAAAGACCTTTTATGCAAGTAGATACTTAGGTACATAACCTTAAACCTTAGGGTTTAAGGACTACCGAATAAAATATCCAAGGTGATAGCTTGTAATCTCCAAAAGATAGAGAGGTAACAATCTAATTCTTGTATGCTGCGTTTATATGCGCTAAAATACTTACGTTATTTATTTACGATAGTTACCTACATCATAAGATTACAAAATCTCGGCGCTATAGCATTTGATAAGACATTATCATTCAAACTATCGTAGATCGTTTCAGTAGGTACCTATAAGGTAATTTAGATATTAAGTTGTTTAATCAAACACCGCGAGGACACCGGTGACCGCAACCTATTGTTCTTTAATTGTGTCTATAACGACGGTACTCAAAGGGTAGTGGAGCTGGTTAACGTACATTTTGGATAATTTCTTTTTATGAGAAAAGTCCATTGAGCTGCAGTGGAGATGCAAATGCGTTATCGGCCTTACAGCGTCGGTTATTTCATTGCATAGGTACCTAAGTATATGTTATTTAATGATGTTATTACTTACTCAGCTCGTTCATCATCTTCCGCCTTATGCAAGTTCGCCCTGTTAGCGTCTCTTGCGACTTTGATGTCCTGTTCCCAAAATCGCCGGAGATCTGGACTTGAAGTGTATGGAGCAGCTACTTCCTTAATCTTCAGGAATATTATAGCCGTTATGAATATGCAGATAACGTTCACTATTGTTAGACAGCAGCTTACGATGCCTAGATAAAAAAAATAAGATAAATTACCTAACCATGGGCAGTAAGCTAAAGTTTATTTTTGGCTTTAGGCAAGTCAATAAATCAATATCTATAAGAATGCAACTAAGTACCTACCACTTCTTTTTTCAACTCTTCCTTAAACCGTCAAACACCAAGCGGTCACCGGTGACCGCGACCTATTGTTCTTTAATTGTGTCTATAAAACCGGTACTCGACGAGTTAATTAGGTATATAGGTCATAGCATTGGTTAACAAGCAATCATGAATTCCTAATGAAGATATGAAGTACACATGACATAACATCACGCCTTTTATCCCCGAAGGGGTAGGCAGAGGTGCACATTATACCACTGTACAATGTAGCACCCACTTTTCACTATTTATGTTATGAGTCCCATCCCATGTAATAGGGGGTGAGCCTATTGCCATATATCGGACACAATTCCAGACTCCGTGCTACTACTGACATTTTTTTTTAAAACCCAGTAATACTTTGCCCGACCCGGGAATCGAACCCGAGACCCCTTACCCGGCAGTCGCACTTGCGACCACTCGGCCAACGAGGCAGAGGCCGAGGCCGATATGAAGTAATAAATATCTATATCAAAGTGCAGCTATCTAACTTTCAGTTCGTTCGGCCTGATTTTCTAACTTTCATAAGACTTGTTCTGCATGTTTGTAGAATGTAGCAGTCTACAAAATGTTTAGTAGTAGGTACCTATGTAGGTAGGTAGGTACACTATTCATATTTTCATACCATTCACAGCAAATTCAATCGGAAGGTAATCGTGGTACAGCGGAGTATACGATGAGTTGCCAGTGTAAGCTTCGCCCTTTATGTGAGGGACTTTCACCCCTGGGTACAGCAGCCATATACACGCTAGTGCCCAGTATAAACCCTGTGAATAAGAGAAAATATTTGAAATGGTTACGCCCAGCCAGATCTGTTTTTTAAATATTAGGTAGGAGTAGTAGTAGTAGTGATGGGCCAGCTCAACCGAGTAAGTATCACCCTCTTACAGAATAATAGTGCGTAAAATGGGTACTTACCGAATTCTTAAAATAACGTAGTTAATTGCTACGTTTCGTCTGGTTTTTCAAGCTCAGTTACACCCGTTAATTACGTATGTAAATACTTAACTTCACGCCTGTCTCCCATGGGAGTAGCCAGAGACTATGGAACTATAGGACTAATTATAACGATTCCTTCATACCTACTTACGTCTTTCACTTCATCAACAGTCATCAATCTTTTCATACATGCTCGTCGGTTAAGGGTAGTAGGTACTTTTAATGAATTAGGTACCTATGTAGGTAATTAATAAAGAGATATACTTACACAATTAACTACAGGTGGTAACAAGGATGCTGAAATAGCGATACCAATTAGTGGCCCAGCACTGCCCTGAAGTAAGGCGAGAGCTACTCCTGTGCCTGACGTCAGGGCCCATAGCACGCCCATCCATAGAGATCGAACGTTGCCTCTAAAAACAAAGTGTTAACAAACTGTTAATTGGTTCGCAGAAAATTGTTGAAATTCTGAACATTCAATGAAATGGTTTATTTGTATTGGAAAGGGTACAGTTATTGATGAAAATGAAAGTGTTTTAATGGTTTCTAGGTCAGTGAAGTGAAAGCGTAGATTTTGTTCGAATGTTTTCCTTGGGAAATTGAAAGTCAACTGGTGAATAGGATAAAAACATATACCTAGCTTAGGTAGGTATAGGTATAGGTTTACTGCCTCCGCAGGTATGTTATTTTAAAGTTAGGTGCTATTCTAATTTAATAGATTGCTAGCGTCAGGTTTTGAACTCTTGCTACAAAATAAGAATATGCTCCACTAACTTACTAGTAATGAAGCAGTAATACTCAAGATGTATTTCTTCTTCGAACTTTTGTTATATGTTATACATGTGCTCTTTCTACACCTTCAGTTGAGAGGCATAAAAATGCATAAATTATGTCACAATAAATAACAGAATTATAATTACTAACCGTCCCTTCATTTCTTCAGTAGGCCAATCTCCAAATCCCCAAGGCATCTCAGTGCTTCCCAAAATCAGGCCAAATATGAATCCGAATAGTAGAGATAGGAACATGCCTAAAACCAAGCTCTCGAAGCCACTCCTGATGAGGCTCCTGTCTGATATGATGGTGCCGAAGGTAATGGACATTACGGGACCCATGAGAGGAGATACCAACATCGCTGCTACGATGTTGGATGCATTATTTTCTACAAGACCGAGGGCTGCTAGGGAGCTGAAATATTAACGTCATATTATACCATCAGCCTACCACACTTCTACTTTAATGACTTTTAATTGTAAACTAAACACTGCTTTCCCATACTGCTGGTAGATTTGGAACTTTTCATTCAATAGACGATTTCGAATCTCATATAAAACAACTTTTTATTTAGGTATGTGCTACTTAAAGTTTTTGAAGCTGAGAATCAGAATAATCAATTAAAGTCGTTAAAATTGTATATAAGCAAATAAGTAATATTTTAGTTCTTATTCTTGTTATTCAAGGTTTGGTATGAATAGAAAAACATATGATTAGTATTGTTTATCACTCACTCAGCTGTTATAATTAGCGTGAGATAATCAAAGGACAACTCTCCCCCGCCCCGCACACCGTCTACAACTTGCTTTACTGTCAATTTAGACCTTATTGACTCCACGAAATTCCTCCAACGTGTTGCGTCTTCTGATTTTCGCCTGTAAAAAAGCTTAGAGCAAATAATGCAGCTGTGACTTGAAGCCTTGTCTAATGATATAGTTATTGAATAACTTTGTACATTAAAAATGAGAAATCTCGGGTTCGAATCACGCCGGATCACGCTTACTCTTAGCTGGAATGCCCATAGGCTCGCTCACTTAATTCAATTACATTGGGACCATGGACTAGGGAACTATTAGTCCATGATTGGGTTTGGGACAAATAATTTTGCTTTATTTACTCCTCAAATAAAATGCGTGTTATTAATATTACAGGTCTGTACTCGTATGTTACTTACATTGCCGTATCATCAGTAATTTCTTCATTTGGTGTCGCCGAGTGCACCACATTGCAGGGTAATACACTGTAATATCGAACTCCTTTTAGATATTACAATATGCCATTTCTAACAATACTATGTTCGCTACTTCTACCTATTAGTATTGTTAGAATAGATATTTCTAGCAATCTGGTCTCTATGTTATTTTACACACTTCTAGGTACCTTTTCTTCTAGGTCGACCATCATCTTTAAAATTATAATCCTCAAGACACATCTTCTATTACATAAGAATGATAACATGTTAACCAGTTAGATAAACCAATTTGTCCAATATAGCAAATCCCTAACCACTTCTATGCCCTCTCTAACTAACTAAAATACAACATACACAATAGGCAGCATCCTAAGACGCAATGTAAGCTGATACCGATCGATCATTGTTTACTAAATAGCAGAGGTATTTGCATATTGTGAAGGGATTAACCATCTTCTAATGGTCCATGTAACTACACCAGCATTGTTTCAGTAAACTATAGAGCCTTTAGCATATTGTTGTAAACGGATTATATGATCTCGGTCTCGGATAGTTAGTGACTGCCTCGTGGCTAGTTTATCTGCGTAGTTTGTTTTATGTTAAAAGTAATCGAAACAAGACTGCATTCGGCGCTCTGATTGGTTGGTTCATTGGAGCCGGCCAATCAGATGCCCGAACGCTTACTCGTTTCAATTACTTTTAACGTAAAAAAACTCGTACTAAGGCCTCTGGTCTGCCGAAGTATTACTGGGAGTTTTTCGGTTTTATAGATAAATCTATCGGTATAGCACAGAGTCTGGAATTGTGTCCATTAAGGTGTACCTATAGGGTAATAGACTCACTCCCTATTACGTAGGACAAATAACAACTGTTAATGAATAGTGGGTGTTACATTGTACCTCTACCTCATTTCGGGGATCAAAAGGAGATTATACTTAGCCCATGTTTACCTCACAATAGATTTGCATCTCACACCGATCCCAAGCTGCGTGAGACAGTGCAGCATGGTCTCGCACTGGTCGCCAGTTGGCAAAGGGAACACGATCTCGAAATAATTCCCCGCCTTGTCACTTGTCCAAACCACGCGCTCCACGTGCAACTTGCTTAGCAGTTCTTGTAGTATCTGCGTACAATGTAGTGTTTTCGATGTTTGTTTGTTACCTAAAGTACCTACCTGGATTACAGAGCAATGCTCGGTGTTTTTGTTAGTAGACGACATTTTCTGGGAATGCAACTTAGCGACATCGATTTATCGCCCCCGAAACACCGAGATTTCAAGAAAATCATTGGAGACTTTCCGAAATCGTTGATATATACAAGAATTGCTCATAAATGTTGTTTAGTATCTATTAATATTATTCATACTTATGTGTAGTCTTCTGGGTTTGTCATTTAACTCGTCGAGTACCGGTTTTATAGACACAATTAAAGAACAATAGGTCGCGGTCACCGGTGACCGCTCGGTGTTTGACAGATTAAAACTAGATAAACAGTTGGACACCTTAAGCATTTTGCGTCGTACCAGTTTTGAATCAGTCTAGGTATTTAAATCTATAAATAAATAATATTAGTAAATAGATCTAAGAGTGTAAGTGAATAAATTGGCAACAACCACAACAACACAACTTTCTAATTGGCATCAACACTTACATTCTCCATGGTGAAAACTTCATCGCATTCATCAATGTTATCCAAAGGTTGGCTATACCCTTCATTATAATATTGTTGGGTCAAATGTATAGGAATACTCCTAGATTTCTTATTCCGTAGTTCCACCGCTAATCTTGCCGGCTTAATGGTAGATTCTTCAACAGGAACTAAATCTTTTGGCTTCCCAAATCTTAGTATATGTTCGTAATTACTTGAAGGTATGTGTATGACAAAGATTACCCCTGAAGGCATGGTGATTGTTTGAGAGCTAGGTACTGAGTGAAGCTGAATTAATGTCCGCGGAAGTACTAGTCAGTTAGCATGTGAATGCTGGGTAATTAGCTTTCGTTAACCAATTAGAGCGTTGAAGCTATGTTATGTTGTCGTATGAGTATTGATGTTCTATTTTTATGCAATGGACTACATATTAGATTTAGATTTGGGTGTCTTCAAGGCCCGAGTGAATAGGTTGCTTAAGGGACGATGTGCTCCATCATAGACCGCATCATCGGTTATCACCAGGCGAGATAGTGGTCAAACGTAGGCCCATCAAATATAAAAAAGGGATTATTTTAGGAATACGGGAGCAGTAAGGTACAGGTGTCCATGGACGGCACTGATTGCTTACCATCAGGTAATCCATCTGCTGGTAAGTTACTCTGACCCATATAAAGGCAACAACGGAAAACAGCCTAATTATTGAAAAGTCGGCACTGATTCTTAGCCAGATTCAGTTGAATGTCAGGATTATACATGGAGCGAAAGCCATTTGGCTCTTTGGTTAGACCAGATACTTATCAGGTTTTTCAAATGCGTGTTAAATGAAACTAAACAAAATTAATAAAACATCAAAACGTTTATTAATATTTTCAATTTTCATCATTCATACTTATTTCATAAAAAAATGGATACAAAATTATTTTTAACTACAATTATTATAGGAATTGCATTATACGTCGTAGCTTTTATTGTCTAGGAGAACTTGGTTTTTCGCTTCGACTGTGTAACTAAACGACGGTTTCAAAGTGGGGTAGTCAGGGACGTTTGATTTCGTGGTACTATCTTCACAAATATCTCCATTTTGGAATCCTATATTGTAGTAGTTATGTTGTATTTCGTCCAAGTTTTGTATTTTCTCCCTTATGTTGTGGCTCGGTGTTTGAGTTTCTAGGTTTGCTTTGGTTTCCACTTCCATTGGTATGTATATGTCTGATAAACTGTAAGTAATGTTAAGGGATATTAATCTTCAAACGATATTAGTACGGTCAGCATCAAAAGTTGATGAAAACATTTTGATTTTCAAAATCGCTGCGTTTTACCAAAATCAGTCAACATGACAAACGGCAACATGATGCTGACCAAACCTATTATTTATGTATGTATTTTTTTTATTATATATATTTATTTATGTATGTATAGTGCATATGTACGTAGGTACACTAAAATGTGAACAGCTTCGTGAAAATAAATGTTCACAAAGCACAAGACGAATATCACGACAACAAGATACAATAAAAGAAAATGTGTAATCTATTCCTAGCAATAAGATCACATTATAGGTGTTTGATTTTCTAAATTCTCAATGGGGCCTATCGTATTCCTGCTCGCCAAAGGGCGCTAGTTTTTTTTTTTAAACTTTGCCCCACACTAGGATTTTTTCCTGTGTCGTGGGTGCGTTTACAAACATACAAATTCACATACACAATGCCACCCAGACCCGAAACAACAATTTGTGGATCACACAAAGTGTTGTCCCGTGCGGGAATCGAACCCGCGACACGTTGCACGGCAGCCGGTTGCCCAGCCACCGCACCAATCGTGCAGTCAAACTACTAGTTTGAACTACTCATTCATTGTACAATAGGGAAATAGCTAGAGTCACTATTGGACGTTCAATATTTGACAGCTGCTGTGATTGGACAAAGAAATCCTATTGTTACTTTTGCGCCATGTGGTGGGTACAATAAAGTTATGCAAGTGCCACACACTCGACGAGTGGTATGGGAAGTAACATGGCACACGTCATGTGATGCGAGGACGAGGAGTCCTGCCCACTGCTCCCTCTTTTGTCGGTTTTTGCGCGCGAGGCAAAGGACCGGCAATATGAGGAGCCAACGAGGACCGGCATGGCAATAGGAACGCGAGTAGAGCAGTGTGTGGGCAGATAGGGCAATATTGCGACAAATCTCGATAGAAACAAAGCGATGAACAGCGCAAGGAGCATAGTCCGGCAGGCGCATAAGCCCCCATTGGCGAAAAGTGACTACTATTATTAGATTGCTAAAATAAACCTACATGAAAATAACCATGGATACTCACTGTGTACTTTGAGTGTACCCATCGACTTGTGTCCTCAACCGCTTGATGATCGAGGGTCGCCTGCGGAAGGTGACGGTGCTGTTGTCCACTGTAGTTGACGTATCATTGCTGTCCACTTTTGTAGCTGCTTTCTCGTCGTACCATTTGCTAAAAATAATTAAATAATTGTATTATTGAAACACACTCTCCAGAGTTTTTAATCTAACCGACTCTAAACACAAAAATCGAAAATTTACAATAATAAATTGACTGCACGGTTGGCGGGGTAGCTGGGCAACCGGCTGCCGTGCAACGTGCCGCGGTTTCGATTCCCGCACGGAACAACACTTTGTGTGATCCACGAATTGTTGTTCCCGGTCTGGGTGTCATTGTGTATGTGAACTTGTATGTTTGTAAACGCACCCACGACACAGAAGAAAATCCTAATGTGGGGCAACGTTTAAAAAAAACACTCTTCAGTGTCTTTATTCTAACCGACTCTAAACACAAAAATCGTAATGATTTCTTTTTACTGTCGCTGCGTGTCCTGTCGTGAAAGAAAACTAATTAAGGATTTCTCTCTGCCTGTATGGGGATCAAGTGTTTGCTAGCTGCGCTAATAGAGTTTCGGATTCGATTCTATGGGACGATACAGTATAAAATATGTATGTATATGTAGATAAATTTCGCCATTCAGATAAAATGGCAAATAATCGATATTTGCCATTTTATTCGGAATGGGATAGGTTTATAGTTTATACACACTAATATGTAGGTAATATTAAATACTAACTTGTAATCATCCCAGTTCAAATTTTCTTTATTTTGATTAGATTGCATGCGACTTCTGTTGGCTTTCCACCAGGAGATATCCTTCCTGTCCAATGGACTTACTTCTTTCACCTGGAAATATATTTAATAACTGAAATTATGTAGTTGATGACAATGTAGCGAAATTTTAAGATATAAAAAAAGAAAAATTTTAAATGTGAGAGGGCCATGCCCGATTATCCCCCTCCCCCCTCCCCAATCCCTGAATCCCAATAGTCCTCAAATTCCTAATCCCCGAAAAACCGGTAACGCACTTATAACTACTCTGGTGTTCCAGGTGTCCACGGGTGACGCCGATTGCTTACCATAAGGTGATCCGTCTGTTCGTTTACCGGCTTATTCCATAAACAAAAATACACATTTGTAATGTAATTACGTTTTAATTTAAGTATAGTTGTGCAGAGTGAAGCTTTAGATATGATTTTTAAAACGTGCTAAATATTTTGTTAATTCTTTAAGTACTTTTAGATTCTTCATGTATCATACAAAGGCTTTAGTATAGCATTACCCCTTTTCTTCCAAAATGTACCTAGACGGATTTGTATTACAAATCAAAATAGGAAACCATCTGTTTTTATAATAACTATCGTGAGACATACTAAATTAACTAAAATCGCGGGTGAGCTGCACGACATCGCCGCGACCGCGCACGCTGCTCATGAGGAACCCCTTTATGGTTCGAAACTAGTACAGCTTTTCTCAGTATATTCACGTGAGTAACCCGCGATTTTAGTTAATTTAGGAAACCATCTGTTTCCTCAGCATAAGAAATATAAGTAAAAGAAGTTTTGTCCTGAACAATTTGCCGTACACCAGACTTTCTTCTTTTAAGTTTCAAAGTTGTACATGCGTCGTAAGATCTTATCTTATTAGGTACGTGGTTTAGTGCACCTAACTAAATGGAGGTTGGAAGAAGTTCAGTCTGTTTTTATAATGTGTATAGTTTGCAAAGTAACTTTATAACTAAAGTAGAATGGAAGTAATGTGCTTAGGTAGAACTTTGACTGGTAAATGTTTACTTTTTAAACTTGGTATTCAGCTTTTTTATGCAAATGGTGATAAGTACCGTCAATATGGCGCATACTAACAGTACAACCCGCAATATCCAAAATAGTTATAAGTGCGATAAAAAGACATGGCATTGTTTGGAGATTTACATTTATCTGAATTAAAACTTAAAATACCTGTTAAATCTTCCTTAAAATAAGAGGCGATACTGGGTGTTTAAATAAACGTGGAAATGGTCTGCCTAAGAATGCTCTAGGACATACAGTTTTTTTCTTTTTAAAAAAACTATCCTTACATCAAAGCGAACAGAAATGATGATAAAACTGTACCTTATAAACAGCGACTCCAGACAAGAATATGCAGATGATGTTGACTAAGGTCAGGCATAGTGACGCGGTACCCAGTATGGCTAACTCCGAGGGTTGGACCACCAGCCAGCGCAGCTCTTCCGTCGTCACCAACAGACGAGTTAGCGCCATTGCCCAGAGAAGACCCTGGAATTAATGGTGCTCTATTTAGAAACTAGTTTCGTTTATTGGAACATCAGTTTTAATAATAAAAAACCTTTAATATTTTGAGATTAGTTAATTTAGGCTTCTATTAAAAACTGCTTTGTATCCAACTCTAAATCTATAAACCCTAATGTTGTAAATAAGTTGTTAGCCGTAGTACAGGCGTAGCTCGTAGCTCGTAGCGCGTAGTTCGTAGTGCGTAGACCGGAGCTCGTAGTTCGTAGCGCTTAGTTTGTAAAGCGTAGCAGCGTTTTTACGCTATCAATAATATGCATTTTGACTAAGATGTAGATTTTGTAAACTCTTTCCATGCGACCGACTTGCCAGTTGACTCCACGTTGGACGTGCTACGAGCTACGGCTGTAGTATTTCGCTGCAACTTAATTGTAAACAGTGCATACAGATTTAGGGCTAAGCATGTAGGCTTAAAAACTTGTTTTGTCATGAGTTGTGTTTACTTTTCGACAGTTGAAGCTATGTGCAATATTTTACATATTTTTTTTTGTGAGATATTCATTTTGCAAAAAATATTTCCGCATAGTTATGCAGTGCGTTTAAAATTGGATTTACATTCGATTCGCCTATTTAATCTACCACCATGATACATTATAAGCCGTACATATTGTTGGACGGAACAATTGGAAGCGATTATGATGACCCATGACCATTCATACACACCATCATCCATTGCCGTAATCGTCGTCATAATCGTAGTATTAATGTAATACTATATTATGTTTACTGCTAATGTTCAGTTTAATGATGGGCGATATACTATTCTATTGTACTATAAGGCAGAGGTGCGTGTACTGGCAAACTTCGTACACCCTCAAAAAAATTGTAAACCTTTATAAAGCAACGAACAACAATTCATACATTGTATAGTATTGTTACATTCACTTTTTCAGGTGCGATGTTACAATGTCAATGAGGAGTTTGCCATACACCGGATCTGATTCTAGACTTCGTGTGAATACCTAGTACCTATTATGTTCAGTTAAGTCAGAGAATGGAATTTTAAAATAAGACCTTTCATAGATTGATGACATCACACATACCTACAAACAGGAGTCCCATTTAATACATGCACTTCTGCTTAGTCTTAGGAACGTGAAAGACAAATGAACAAAGCCGTGACGTCCGTCCTTTATTTTCTGAATGACGTAAGTAGTTAGATATCCAACAAAACAATACTTTCACCTCCCTAGTCCCTTGTCTTTATCAGAACTTTGAAAGTAGGTTCAACGCAAACTTTTGCTGGTTATTTCGGTACCTACGTCAACACCTAAAAATACGTTATTCCAAATGAAGCAAGACTCCATTTTCGCATCACCTTTATTCTATTTATTATGACGAACGTCAATGAAGTATTTATTTTTAGAGTTTCCTTTAAATAATGCAATCTATTTTGGTGCTATTATTATTTCGTTTAGTAGGTATGTGTAGGTATGGCATTTATTTTTTGTCAGATTTGATTTTTCTACACCTGGACTAGACATTTCTCTCTTTAACATTGTGATGGTAAAAACCTGATGACACCATTTTAACAAACGTAAACCATTTTAGATTTTTAAAAATAAGTTGCCGTTTTATTCCGTAATATTACGTAAAACTTACAATAAGCATTGTTATTTATATTTACGTATTAAAGAATGTTGAATACTCACAGCATTAACAGCAGGTGGTAGTAAAGAAGCAGAGATAGCGACTCCGACGAGAGAAGATGTATACTCTCCCAGCACGGCCAGCGCCACTGCAGCACCACTGGGTATTGCCACCAGCACACCCACCCATAGAGAACGATACTCACACCTGGAAGTCCAAGAAATAGATTAATAATTTATTGTTTTAGTAATTTGAAAAAAGCGCTAGTTACTAGCTCTATACGTCATATCTACATGGATACTAGCATCAAGCCAGGCCTTTGATTGTCTTTAGTTTTCATCCTGATCGGATTAACATCTAATTATATCTGATTGAATTGCCAGCCTATCGAAATGACGTCAATTGTAGGTGCTGCGCATAAAGGTTGTATTTCAAAGCGATATAGGTAGATGCAAATAAAGTGTATTTGGCACCCTCTGACCTTATCTGTATCTAGGACGTTTATAGGTCAGAGGTCCTGTGGAGCAATGAAAACACAGAAACGCAAAATCTCATAGTTTTATTATTTCTTGTCAAAAGCTTTTGCAACTCGGCCATCTTGCTAAAATTAAAATGTGTTAGTTTTTAAATGATGACGACTGATGACAGAGTAATAATTAGTTGATAACTGTCATCATCACCATCATCATCAACAGCCTATAAATGCCCACTGCTGAGCAAAGCCTCTTCTCACCCGGAGAAGGTTTGAGCATTAATCACCACGCTTGCTCAATGCGGGTTGGTAATTTCAAACTTATAATTAGTAATTATTAGCCTAGGTTTCCTTACGATGTTTTCCTTCACCGTTTGTCAGTGGTGTCTGAATAATCTTAGAACTGTAATTCTTACTTATTAAATCACTTCAACATTCAACAATCGAGTGCAGTATGGTTCATTACTAAACTAATTAACTGTTAAGATAAGATGTAAATTCCTAGTTATTTTTAATTAAAACACAAAGCAAATTGGCTCTTATTTCATAACAGATATCTTATGAAGATTGCACGGCTATAAGGAAATCAATATGTTATTAAGTTTGCATTGTTCTGACCGACTAGACAGTGTGATGGATGATGGGTTGTATCGTTTATCATGTAGTGACAATATCGTCATGTAGGGACAGGAGCGATTGCGATGTTGCGATTGAAAGGTGAATAGCCGACCAGCGTCCTGTTTTCTAGTACACACGGCTACACATCGAGCTTTACATAACCAGTATAAACTGAACGTTAAATGTGCGGAAAGATGATGCGACGCGACACCAGGATAAACTGGTTTTGTATAGATTGATGTGTGGCCGTGTGTACATTGTAGTCGGTCGTGTAGTTTGTCGAGTCGATTTTAGCTGGTTAAAGGATAAGTTATTTTAAACGTGTTTGTTTTATAGATCTTGATATAGTTATTTCTTGATATGAGATTATTATTTAAATACTAATGTTATTCTTACCGATATTATAAAAATGCAAAGTTTGTGAATTTGTGTGTATGTTTGTTACCCAATCACGTTAAAAAGGCTGAAGGGATTGGGTTGAAATTTGGAACAGGGATAGATAATGTTCTGGAATGACACATAGGCTACTTTTTATAACACGAGAACGCAGGCCAAGCCGTGGGCAGAAGCTAGTTTGACATAAAGGCAGGAAGAAGTAGGAACGTAGGCAGTAAATATTACGAAATATTAGGTATGTATATGTATACAAAATGCTTACCGTAACTTGCATGCTTTGTAGTGTTATTATGTTGCATAACATTTTTGTAATAAGTATGAAACGTTAAGTAACAATAACGCTATTTATTATAATTTACTGTCCTATTAATGTGTTTACAATTACCTAACTAGTACATACCTACTTATTTACATATCTCAGTTCTGTACTCTTGTATGAAAATAAAAATATAGGTACAAATACGACGTTTTGTTGTTGAAGTAGTTATAAGCGAAAATATCGAGTAATTCAATAGGATAGTATCCTAAATTTTATTTAAATGTACGTCAGGTAGTATTAAAAAAAATTAGTCTTAGACACGTATTATTATTTTTTTCTTACAAAATTAAATAGGTACTTTCTACAAGATTTACCTAGTACCGTGACGTAACGCGAATATTCGTAACTTAACTCCGTTTTACCCAAATATTTTTCTTATACGACAAAATAAAAAGTGTAATACTTTTTTATTATCTAACTGACGGACTAATTACATTTATAATTTTCATACACTGACTACTACCCTATTAGGTACTGACTACATAAAACATTGAACATAGCTGAGGATAGATCGATTTGAGAGTCAAGTCATTGAAGGAGGTTTTTGTTCAGCAGTGGACTTTTTATCTACATATACTAATATCTGTGCTAATATTATAAAGAGATAAAACCAGTTTGTAAGTTTGCATGTAGGGGGTAATCTCCTGAAGTCATGAACCAATTTTAATGACTAATATAGGTAATGATGTGAACATACCTTGAGATCATTTCATAAGTAGGCCAGTCCTCCACGACTCCGTATCGTTCATCGATGGCGCAGATGGTCAGCCCGAATAGGAATCCCATGACGAGAGATAGGAACAGACCGAGGAACTCATTCTTGACTCCCATGAGCTGCAGGGAACGGTCTTTGACGGCTGTGCCTAGAGTACCCGCTGTTATGGGACCCTAAGAAAGAATGTTGAAAATATAGTAATTTTTTTTGTCGTCAGAAGTTAAAGATATGTGTAAAGTTGTAGACGTAGAGATAGTTTGAAAGAGAGTTTCCTAAGTTTTTATCCTTCTTGAACACCATTTATTAAGTTTTCATCAATCATCACATCTATTCAATGGAGTAAGAAATGTTTGCTTCCTTGTACGTACTGCTAAAGAGTGGAATTCTTTGCCAGAGTCTGTATTTCCTGAAGGGTATATATAACCTGGGAGTCTTCAAGGCCCAAATGAATAGGTTGCTTATGGGACGACGTGCTCCATCGTAGACCACATCATCGCTTACCACCAGGCGAGATAGTGGTCAAACGTAGCCCCATAAAATACTAAAAGAAATTGATAGGATAATAACAAATTCTCATACATATGATGCGGAATGCATGGGTATACTTATTGTATTACAGTGTATAGATATTGCATGAAGTACCTATGTTGTATATTTTTATGACAATGCTTTTAAAATCCGGTACAACTATGAACTCTTACCATTAGTGGAGATATAAGCATACTGGCCACGAGTATAACGGTGGAATTTTCAACTAGACCAATAGCAGCAACGAACGCAGCGACCAGTAGAAGAAACACCCAATCAAAGGTGAGGGCTGCGTCTGCGCGCACATCGTGCAACACTTGCGCGAGGTTTGTGCGCGCACGCACCGATGAAGAAAACCGAGCCCACCCTGTATTTGAGACCCTGCAAGAACCAGATAAATGCATCAATTTTAAAAACGATTTTTACTTTATACATTCTTCATTTGTTACTGAATGAATGGCAAAATACACTTGGGTAGGTATGTCCCCTGACATAGCATGGGTAATAGTGATGATAGTGACGTTGGTTAAGAAAAAATACTTCCTATGGTTCTATGGTCCATCCTTAACCTGTCTATTTAGAGATTAAACTGTATATTGACTCATAGTTGCCCACACTCATCCTCAGTCTTGTTCAATGATTTATATACGTAATTTAATCTAATTATTTTTATTGAATTACGAAGTATAGCAAACGGTTACACGACGGAAATATATGAAGTGAGGAAAAGTAATAAAAAAAATAATTAAAATAGAATAAATAAATTATTAACTACCTACCGATAATAAAAAAAACAATAAATGAACGATCAAACGAACAAATACAAATAAAAGCAATCATTTGATCGCTTCTACTGCTTCTACCGAAGGAAATAACTAGGGATTGTAATTAAACAATTGATCTTGACTGCCCGTAACAACGTCTTAACGAACAACTATTACTTTAGTGAACTATAAATAGACCTGGATTAGACCTAAATGTTTAAAATTAAGCTAAACGACACAGACAACAGTACCTATTATCGTTTCATTACTACTTATTCCGAGCTTGGTACAGCCTTGCCTTATCCTGCTATACCTTCTTATCCTCTATCAGGAAAAACCTCAAATAAAAATAATCTCACCCTGCAATATCAGAGAATGAATTAAATTCTTTGTAATTTATATCAACAGGCAATCTTCCTTCCCCTTCCTTCCAACAATTCACAATAATAAATATTTTTCAATTGCCACAGAAATAAACGTATTTTACAGTTATTTCAATTGTGAGCAAACAATCATTTCGTCATTACCATGCCATGACTTCCCATCACATAGTAGGTAATTCACATTCACAAACATGGTGAACACGTCATTGCTGTCTTAAATAGATATAACTAAATCTTCTAAAAAAAGAAGAAAAACGACCAGTGTTATCATTCAGATCTAGAATTTAAAGAATCAAAATATTTTATATAAACTCTGTCTAAACTCTTCCAATCCTTTCTTCTCTTAAGTCGATTAATTAATATAGTATACTAAATTCTTCTTTTAATTGTAACAAACACTATTACAGCTGAAAATCACAGCAAAATCGGTACAGCCAATAAGGAGATAACCATGCACAAACTTACAAACATACATACAGGGCACATTGAGAACCTCCTTCTCTTTTTGAAGTCGGTTAATAAATACAAAAACAGTCCTCTGACACTTACTCTTCATGTTGAATCACACCAATTTCAGACGCTGGTGGACTGACTTCATCATGGGATTTGTAGTATAAGGCACAAGGTACCAAACTAACTGACGACTGGTACCGTGATCCAATCCCGAAGGTCCTTAGGACTTGTAATAATTCTTCACTTAGACTCCCCGACTCTATGGAAAAGGTTACCTGCAAAAAAGATAAGGTAGCTAAGACAAATGTTTTACAGCCTTAATTAGTTTATAACGAGATCACTTAATTTGTGAAGATATATTGGACTCTTGCCAGTTTATGTAATTGCAATTAAGTCATTTTAAAATACTGGATTTAAATCTAGTTCTCTATTGGTGAAAGTGTTTAAATGTGATTATATGTAGGATTCGAATATTGTTAAAGAAAGATCTGGAGGCACTGGCCTATAAATCTTGAACTAACTCTATATTGACTGATTGGACTTGACTTGACCTAAAATTTTGCAAAAGTCACTAAACAAGGGTTTTTAGACAATCAGAAAAAATTGTTCCCTTATTCCAACTTCCAGGTAAATTTTACCAAAAAAGTAGGTAACCTAAAAATATTCGACACCAAACATTTCTTTCCTCATGCAATTAAACATTGTATAGATACTTTGAACCCTCCGTTTATGATTAAATGGATATATTAAAGTATGGTTTGTTCTATTGTGTACTGTGTACACTATGGGACTACACAAAGCGGGTTTGAAGCAGTTTGGACGTCTACCGCATTCGAAACGTGCAGTTATGAATGATGACTAAGATCCTTATCTGGGTAATAGGACCTACGCGATGTAAAGACTTATTAAACTGTTCCATATACATAGGTGTATATGTATGAAACTATGTATTCGAATATTACGCAATACTACTGCGATACTTTGTATTGACGTTACAAAATTGGGTACCAAATAGTTCAATTACTTTGTAGTTTTATAATATAGTTGAAAATGCAGTTATTGGCGATATTGGGCGCTTCGGGTAGTAGCTGTGTTTAGAAAATCTTTATGTAAGTATTAAAAGTGTTAACTAACTCTTTACTCAAGCGAAGTGAACTGAAAAGTAACGCCTAATATTCCTTTACCTAAATGTACTAACCTGCCAAAATTTATCATCCTTCGTAGAACTCCACGCTGCATTTTTGATGTCTAGTCGTTCTACTATTTCCGCTAGTATCTGAAACCAAAGGATTTCATAACTTATGGTTATTAAGTAAAGGGTTTAATATTGCGCATTAAATTATACCACATTAACAAGACACTATCAACTACATTTCAATGCGATAAGGTCGAAAATCGAATAAGGAAGTTGAACACAGGATAGTTTGTTGTGCGTCTATTTCTTAGTGTTAGAATTTACTGAGATAATAGCCAGTAAAGCCAATAAATTCTAAGAGAAACTAGGCGTAGCATTTAAAACTGAATCTTAGTTTCAAAAAGGTATATTTCCCGGATTTTGTTTAGCAATTTTCAATCTTATGAATAAAGGTTTTAAGGTTACAATTTGCAGGCTCTTTGTTACTAGAAAATATAAAGAAAATTGTTATTATAACAGCTCCTTACGTTTCAAAGATGTTATTACTGTAGGCTATTTATTTTCATGACGCATTTGTTTAATTCAGCTGCACAACTACCTATTTCATTAACTTGTTATAACGTTAATACCTACGTTATATTGTTGTTATAATCTGTGGTTACCCACTTGGTAGTTTATGGTTATGTAACTGTTATTTAATACAGCTACTATTCTGTTTTAATATAAACAGTAAAATTGCTATTAAAGTGTGTTTGTACTTTGCGAAAACGTTTTTTTTTATTGAAAAAACATTGCGAGATTTTCCTGTGTCATTATTTTATAAAAAGGTATGATAATAAACTATGGGCAGAAATTATTCTGGCCTTAAACTGGACACGGTTAGGTTTAAAAAAAAGTAATATATTTTTTATATAATCGTAGGTTTTTTAGCTGCAAGCTCTATTAATAACTAACCGTGTCCTAACAAAGCAAATTATAAAGAAAATTATTTTATTCCCACACAACAACAAGCAAAAATAATAACAAACAAAATCATGTTCAAGCTACATCAATTTAATTTACGAACACTTGTTTTCTTTTAATCTCAAGCGGGTAAGCAATAAAATTAACGAAACGTTCAATAAATATCGAAAAAGAAAAACATTGGACGAGCGATAAACAACAACTATACCTACCTATTTCATTACTGCGAACGCATTTTTTTTTCTATTGACGTATTTATTAATGAGGTTTTATACATAATGTAGGTATCTCTGAAAGAAGGACGAATAGAAAATTCTAGCCATAATGTCCTTAAAACATTATCACAATAAAGAATTCAGTATTGTTTTGGTGTTTTTATTTAAGAATTACCTAAATACTGTCATTGCTGACATGTCGACTGCCTTGATCGTAGGTTTATGTCACGAAATTGCTATTCTCAACTGATATTATAAATGCGTAAAATTTTGTTCTCTTTTAGCTTTATCATAACCGCTTTTTATAGAAATTTCACATACATAAATACCTACATACATAGTACCATTTTTTTTAAGGGGGGAATATCACCGAATGACTGCTCCCGCCTGGGTGAGGCGGGAGGGAGTGTCACACTCTTACTGACTAAAAACCACACCGTTCCTTCTCCTGCGCGTCGAGCCGGAGCCCCGGTTACCCGTTACCCGGTTTAGGGGCAAAATTATCGAATGACTGCTCCCGCCTAGGTGAGGCGGGAGGGAGCGTCAGACTCTTACCGACTAAAAACCACCCCGTTCCTTCTGCGCTTCGAGCCGGAGCCCCGGTAACCCGTTAGGCTACCTTTTAGGCGGGCCAAACAACATTATGTTTTTATTAGTTGTTTTTATCATTTAATTATAAATTCGCTTCAATGAAAGTTGTAGCACTGCGTTAGTAAGACATTCAAAATATTATGAAAACGTTTTATTGTCCAAACGTTCCATTGTTTATCTAATAATAACAATAGTAATGAGTTAAATGGTCGGAAATGTGATCAATGTACAATATTATAGCCGTAATCATTGGCTGTTTGAAACATAATAATGACAGAACGGAGACATTTCAACATGTTTTTATAGGAAACCTATTGTATTTACCACAAGGTAAATTAACAAATTGATTTCTTCCGTCAACTAAGTACAGACAACGACTAAATAGCATAGTGTTACAATATCCTATGACATTTTGTATTTGGATACATTTTTGTTACCTATTTTATCGTTTATTTGGTACATAGAACTACAGAATTGTCAGACATGTTTCATTATTATCATCACTAACAGAGGACATGAACGCCATTGCCGAACTGTCTCTCAGTCGGTTCTTTAGATGTCCACGGGAAGAATAGCTGTGATGATTATTACCTGCCTTCACCACGTGGTGTAAAAATACGTTTAGTTGAAGTCAACGACGACATGTTTAAGTACTCCGCCATACTATCTTTCATAGGAATAGGAAGTTAGGAAGAAACATTACAATGCCAGGTGCATTGAGAACCTTGACTTTAGCGAGGTCAGAGGATTTTCACTAACATCTTAAATACAATTTACTTAATCCTAAAAGTAATTTGATATTGTCTCGCTGTTCGAGTGCCGAGTTAAGGGTTTCGGGCACAACTCCCTAGACGAGGTCTAAATTGTAACCGGGAAATAGTAAAGGGAAGATGACACCCATTCACACCCAATTACATTATGGATTACATGGGACATTACCAGTTATAAGGTAAAAAGCAGTTACATTGTAGGTATTATGTGCGTCTCTCTATCTTCTAAGATTAAAAGAGGCGACGTCATATTACATTTAATCAACGAAGATCATAGATCAAGTTTGAGGATAATCAATTTGTTAATAACGTAGGTAACATTCTTGCAGCATTTCTAATATAATAAATATGCAGGAATTTGCGTTTTTTATCATAAACCGCAAACTTCGTCATAACGTTGTTTTTATGTGAATAATTGACCGGGCATCTTTTTATTTCATCTTTTTTGTGGTTTTATTCAATAACAGTCCATGCAAATGTTATTTTTGTAACGAAACTATTTATAGAAACAGATTTAGCACAAAAAATTAAGAGGTGTAGGGGCTGTACCCAAAATGGAAGATAGTCTTTTTATAACAATTAACTTATGGACGTATTTACCTATCAAGGTCATTGCACTCGTTAGGTAGGCAAACAAACATCTAAGTAGTTTTAGCGCAACATTTTTTGTTCTTAATGGAAATTTCTATGAATATTTGCTCGTTTATAGATACATAGAGAAACTATTTAATTAAGACTAACTAAATGTAAAAGTTAAAGACACAACGTTTAATTGATAGTTTCGTTTTAAATCCGTCCTAACGCGACGAAGGCAAGGAAAGGCAAGGTTGAGGAAAATCAACAAAAAGATAACGACACGAAAATGTTACGAATAATGATAGTTATGAAAAGAAAGATGGCGTGTGATAAGTTGACATGGGATCTGATATAGGAAAATATGAAAAAGGAAACTTTTGAACCGTTCCCAATTCTAAATAGGTAATGACTACCATGAGGAGGACATGGCAACTAACAAAAACACAGCAGTAGCGCGACTGTTGCTGCGTCGAGGGTCGTGTCATGCTGCTCATGAATATGAGCCTCTAGCATGGTTTGATACTGATCGAGTTCTTCGTCAAACAGTTGCGTGAATAAGCCGAAAACGTGATAATTGGTTTAACAAAAACACATTACTTATTTCTTATTTCCATCGCTTAAGTAATATTAATTGGTAGAAGAAATAGATTTATCTTAAAAAGTGGTAATTCAGTCATTTGGAATGAAGAGACGAATGATTTTTACTGACAGACGTTTCAATTATACTTTGAGGATTCCAAATGAAATGTTTAGGAAAATCATGATCAGAATGTTTAGCAGCCTTCATATGACACGTATATAAATGTGTCTACCACTTTTTAAATAGTTTTCATACAGATTATAATGGGGGCAGGTGTTTGTTTTCACCGACACCGTAATTGAACATGAGCCCCATATAACATTTAAGCGTGAGCTTTCGGGTTTCCATGTCATGTCAAAGGTTATTTACTGTCGTTAACCCGATTCCCAGTTACATATACCTAACGATATAAATATAAAATATTTTCACTTTGCCTTTATATTTTTATATGTAGCAGGTTCTCAGTAGTAGGTCCACCTATTTGACTTATTTTTATAATATATTTTAAGAGTTTCTAGATGTTTATAAATAGGTCAAAAGCAAAATCTTTTCTATCAAAGTATGGTGAATATAGAACGATGTTAACTTAACCAGCACTAAAAATACTTCGTTACTGTAGATTACATTTTTCTTGACTCAGTATCATTTCTACGTACAAAATTGATAAACCAATGATATTGGAATCCATGGGCGTTGAAAATTGGCACCACCTCTACTGTATCAGATGATTTCTTAAATTTCCTCATTAAATAAAAAAGTGTGTCCAAAGAGAACAATCTCTGTATCATATTTCCCTTATTTTATGAAAGAAAATTGATTAGCTTTTCGTATGAATGATAAAGTCGATGTTGTTTTATGAATGTTCTTATCTTGTTCTGCTGCTGCTGAAGTTTTGAGAATTCATTCAATCTAAATACTTTCTTGGAATACTCGTAATAGAATTTTAAGAAGCTTCATTTAGGAGCAGGTGCGGTCTCTTCTTTAATGAAAGTGGGGGCTAACATATCTAATTGAGTCGGTAACAAAGTACTTACAGTTTCCAGTGGTGTATCCCAGTGAAATGCAGCGAGCACATCAACTCCCCGGGTAGGCCTAGTTATTGTAAGTTTGTTCTTGCGCGGCTTTATCGCTTGTTTCAACTCCTCCCAAGACGCCTTCACGCAACCCTTTCGATCCACCAAATCTCCTTCAGCTATACCACTCTCACTAGGACATCCAAAAGAGTCCGCTCTAATATTCTGATGCAAACAGTCAGTTGATCGACACTTCGATATTACGACAGCATTGTCATCATCCTGTGCAAACGACTCTATTGATTTTGTTCCTAAATGCTTCTCTTTCAATTCATGGATAACTTTTGATGCCCTCTCGTACTTTTCTTTTTCGAATATTAAATTTGGAATAATGTTCTTTTTTAAATAATTTTCATATTCCTTATTGGGGACGTTCACAATAAATAGTACACCAGCCATGATTAATTATTCATAAATAACGTCCGTAACAGCGGAGGTGCAGTGTGTTGCGCCCGCGCTCGCGTCTACTTCTGATCTAAGCTACCGCTATCACATCACTAACTAATTCAGCCCTAGTGGCCATTGTTTTATTTGTCGTCGAAATGTCGCCTTTATATGCGGAAAATTACAAAACAATTGGCTTCCGTTCTTGCGAGGCATTCTGACTTAATTTTTGTTTTTTTTTCTGTGTAGATTGCTTTGTTTTGCTTTTGTAAATAATTATAATGTACAAAGATAAGAAACACATTATAATATACTTCGGTGTTTAACTAGGACTATCTATATAAATCTAACATAGTACCAGAGTTACTACTTGTTTGAAAAGAACACGAATAGTATTTCTGTACGTAGCACGGTACTACTAATGTGTCATGAATTTTTCTTGTTAAATGACAATGAAGTACTGCAGTAGCAAGTACGTAGTAGTCATTAATGCTTTATTACTGAATCGATTCTCTACTACGTAAAACTAAACATAGAAATAAATCCATATAGAGCGTTGAAGTTTATTGACAATGTTCACGTGGCCGTTTCATCTTATCACGAGCATCCCCTCGGCAACGGTTGCGGGTCAAAATAAAACCGTAGCCGCGCAGCTGAGGCGGGGGCGCGCAGGGCGGCAGGGCGGCTGGCGGCCGGCCGGGCGCCCGCCCAGTCGCGGCACAGCCTGCCGCCCGCGCGCACATCGCGCCCTACCGCGACACTCGATCAATAACCGTGATAACCTACACTCTTCTATTCTGAACCTTTCACATGGACTGACCGAAGGTGCCGCCAGCTCGCACAGCCGCTGTCGCGCTCTTCACGTGGGTACCGCACTTCGTAACGCCGATAGCCGTTATCAACACCATAAAACATGGCCACCTTCGAAAACACATGATCGCCAATACGGTTATTGGGACGCGAGCTATTCTCGTTAGAGCTACAGAACGTCGGTTCATATGTAGCTCCTGTACCCAATGTATTTGTGTTTTTATCGTAGTATGTTACGTAAATGCGCTACCGCCGTTTCAAAATCGATAAGTTATTAAATCTTTTATGAAACGATTTGATTGGCGCCTCTTATTGTAGCCACTGGCTCCCGTCTTCATTTCAATCGGTATTATTTTCACTTAATCTTAACTTTCCTGTAGAGATAATGTTTTGGTCGCCGTCATGGCTGTCTGTGCGGTTGACTAATTGGCTTTCTCGTGTTATTCTGCGGCGTTAGTGCTTGGGGTCGTGAATGTTGTATAATTGCCAAAAACGTGCGGCGGTAGGTAATCCGTCGTCAGGATAAAACTGTCATTATATAACGCTATCCTTGTTGTGACGTAAGTGTTGTGCACAGGTGAGCTCCAGACAGTATGGATTTATTTATACCTGCTACGTAGACAGTAATAATATATCGCTCGGTACGGTATAATAGGTGCGAGTTTAGACTGAATATTTAAAGTAAATAAACGTTGTATAAAATTATCCAGAATTAGGCTCTCTCCTTACATAACGCTCATTTTGCATTAAATTTTCTACATTTATTGTTCGGGTCGACGTAACTATGGGCCGATGCCTGGGGGTACGCTATAAGGGTCGCAGAGTAGAGTCAATGTCAATGTTTTACTTATTAGTCTGCTTGAAAACTCGATAATACTAAGCGAAGCGTCTGCAGGGATCGCCGCAAGCACGTCGATCTGTTGACACCGCGCTTAGTCGGGATCTTAACAACGATTTTACGCCAATATTTCGCTACAAAAACTTATATTAGTTCTGGATTAGTATAGATTTACTTTATTATTTGAGAAACAAAATAAAATAACTATTTAAAAGAATATAGTGACTCGGTTGTTTTGAATAATGGGATTCAAAAGTGTATCTATAATCTACAGTTTGAACTACTCTAAACAAACAATAAACTATAAATATTTAGACATATAACACAATCGTACTACGGCAGTAGCATTACTTCATCGTTGATTAGTAGGTACCTAATTAGTGGCTGCGAGATCATAATACCAATCAATATTAATTCGATTTCACGATAAAACATTTTAAAATGCATTAACTTACCAATATGATATACTTAGTCATTAGATTTATTGATTTCCTTACATAACGACATATCCGCTGATTTTTTATTAATTTTCACGTTAAATAGACTACGAATGAACTTTATAATAATAAAAAAAAATGGCGCGTTCAATGTCAAGACCACAGACGAGATTCGAATTTTAAAATTGTAATGGCCAAAGTTTGTTCGAAAAAATGTTCGAGCTATAGATTATGGATTGTAACCTTTTTGTAGATGATGCTAGAAATGTAGGTCACACGAAAAGCCTTTGAAAAGAAAATGTCAATGAGCTATGTAATTCATCAGATGATAGGTATATTGAGCTGAAGCGTTTTTGTGTCCGGTGTATGACAATAATGAGTCTTATTACCAGGGATTCATAATGCTATTAGAAAAACCTGCCATCAAACCTAAAATAAGTCTATTTACTTACCTACCTGTAGTGAAAGAGAAATCGCGGCGTCCATTACCTTGATAAATTAAATTAACATTTTAGGAGATTAAGCGCGTTTCAACCCTCGACTGCACAAAAGGTTTCATTTCCCTTATAATTATAATAAAGATGTTGATTAACGCTGTACAGATAAAATAGATAGACTAGAAAAAAATTAGGTAGTGATATTTTTGCTCTTTATTTATTTTTTGTGCATTATATAAGTGTACCTTAGGTAGGTACACTTGAAAATACTGATTTTAAAGTCGACTTCACTGAATATTTTTAAACCAAGGGCAGTGTCGATAATCAAAACATTTACTATGTTTAGGCATTTCTCTAGTAGCCTCGAATCTGAATTGATGCCTGGCTGGATGCCCTGGTTTTATAACTGGCAAAATAATGTGTTTACACAGCTGCCAAACTGTAGTTCAGCAATAACTAGTATGGCCGTGGTGTTTATAGTCTGTTCCAAAATAACTATCTTCTGGGTATAGTGTTAGTGATTCGATGGTTTACAATCGACTAGACAGATATTTAACGACAGTCGAATGTGTTTAAAAATGTCAATGTATCAAAAATAGGTTGGTATTGACAGTGTTTTCTATTCGATCGTTCGAGTTGCGTTTGGCTGTTATTTTTCTAGGACTAGAATTGGGCCGGGCGAAAGATTTACATAAAGATTTTTCAAATATTCTAGATTAGTTAGTAGGTACCTACTAGTGAAAATTTTGTGTTAGTAATTTTGACAAATAGGACTTGTGATTCATTCTTGTGAGTCTGATTTTGGCCAGTATTTATAATTTTTTCAAATTTGTTTTACCTAGGCCGTAGTTAAACCCATAAAGGTACACATTTATTTGCACTTTTTTTTTTTTTTTTAAGGGGGGAAAATCATCGAATGGCTGCTCCCGCCTGGGTGAGGCGGAAGGGAGTGTCAGACTCTTACTGACTAAAAACCACCCCGTTCCTTCTCCTGCACGTCGAGCCGGAGCCCCGGTTACCCGTTAGGTTCTCCGCGACACATTTATTTGCACTAAATTGTAATTCGTACTTACAAAGCAGGTTAAACGTCCCTTCGCGACACCCTTAACAACTAAATCGATTCGCAGTTGACTTTATCAACGATCAAAATACGTACCTATTATTTAGAATTTGGCACAATAAGAGGTTTGACCCGTGAGGAGGTCATACGACATTTTGTTTGGTTTTGAACGAAATTCTATTGAAGTGATTCGCTTCAATAAAATCTGGGGTAGGTAAGTACCTACTTACATTTTTATACCAGTAATCGATTTAATGTAATGGCAATAGATTTAAAACGTGTCTTTGAATCTAAGTACATACTTTACAAACAGAAAATACTTTTACTGATTAGCCTCACCGGACAAATGGCATAGTATCCACGTATGTATGGGACTGATTTGGCTTGGCTTACGATTAATCGTCAGCTTATAATATGTCAATCCCATACATTTTTCGTTTTCTAAAAAAAAAGTATTGTAAAAGTGCGACTCTGCCGACCTCATCGAGGATTAAAAGTCGTAAAGTTATGTATATCTAGTGTCTACATAAGCAAATGTATTCTCATTAATAATTATTCATCGAAGAATATTTGATGAGCTAAAATGAATAGATCTACATTATACATGACAAAGAGACTATCTGAAATCGACTACTGAAAACAAAGTGCCCTGAATGGCATTAATCTTATTCCCATTTTCCAAAAAGGTTTGGTAATTTCTAATTTTGAATACTAATTTGTTTTTTGTAGTATTGTTGATTGACTGCCTCGTTGGCCGAGTTGTCGCAAGTGCGACTGCCGGGCAAAGGGTCTCGGGTTCGATTCCCGGGTCGGGCAAAGTATTACTGGGTTTTTTAAAAATCTCAGTAGTAGCACGGAGTCTGGAAATGTGCCCGGTATATGGCAATAGGCTCACCCCCTATTACATGGGACTCATAACATAAATAGTGAAAAGTGGGTGTTACTTCTATGTGCACCTCTGCCTACCCCTTCGGGGATAAAAGGCGTGATATTATGTTATGTTATGTTGTTGATTGATAGATGGCTAATTGCTGTTCTAATGTATGTTTTGTACTTTTAACTGAAGAATTTAGATTGTGGTTAGTGTGATATAAGAATTATTTTTATACATTCATTAACTCTATGATATGACCTGACTGGGAGAAAATAGTTACAAGCATGCAAAAAGAGACGGACTTTTTAGTTTATTTCGGCAATCTTTCTCAGAGTAGTCTGTTAGGAAATGTCGGCCCCATCGTTTGCTTGATAAAATTGACGTATAAAAGTGCTGCCTTGTAGCCTATTTGCAGAAATAAATTCACTTGTTCACATCTTTGGATATTTCTGGGGAACAAACTGTATCCACAATATTTTATAATAACTTATTGGCTACACATATTTGGTAGCAATATCTAAGAATTACAATCCTATTCTATTTCTTTTAATGCCCATTT